AACCTAGCGATGAATGGAGAAGGAACGAAATTCCGGTGCAGTATTGGTTCAGTTGAAACGAGCAGGCTTTGTCACTTCCATCGACCGAGCGAGTTAATTAAGAGTCGGCCGATTCGGCTTCTTAAACAATCGAATCGAGGGCGGTCTAACTTTGATCAGCGTTCGCGGGAACATCGATGAACGGTGCTTGAAAGCTCGAGTCATCGTGAAAGAGAACGCGATGCTACCGTGCTTTTCGTGCGTCGAGTCGATGTGTATACACACATACGCACAACACACACACACGGTGCACGCAAGCCGCGTTGAATCATGCGTGTTTAAAGTTCGGGAAGGATCTCTCTCACCCACCTCGCGGCACAACTCGGGGCGCTATGTCCTTTTGCGAATGACACGCGGGCAGAAACGTGTACACGATCACACATACACGTACGTACGTACGACGCGACCCGCACACACTGTACGTAGTCGTCGTGAGCAGCAGCGAGAACGATAACGGATGATTCACACCGCCGTCATCGTCTCTCGAACGAGCGACGACATTTGTCACAGCGGTGTCTAACCTTCGGACGCGCGGCGATTCGTCCGGCGCGCGCGACGACGAGCACCTCCGCCGGCGTTTCCAGCGCGCGACGTCGGCGGCGTGGTGCGCGCAGCGCGACGACGACTTCGTGAACACACGCTCTCTCGGCGGACCGCCCGATCAAAACAAAGAGGCGCGGACCTGCTCTCACACCGAAAACAAACTCTCTCTTTCTCTCTCTAACTATCCCTCGCTTTCACACGAGCGCGCGCGCGCGACGTTTACCTCGAATATGTGCGCGGACCGAATCTCTCTCTCTCTCTCTCCCTCCCTCTCGAGAAAGATCCTCGCCGCGTCAACGTATCCACGTACGCGACACTCCCGCGTTTCTCCACGCCGTGGTTTCTTATCCTTCCCTCCTCCTTCCTCCTCCACCACCACCTCCTTCACCTCCTCCTGCTCCTGCCGCTCGAGGCGCGCCCGCCGTCGTCGCTTTCACCCGCTACGCGATGCCGCTGGACGAACGTGCGATCTCCGCGGCGCGGAGCCACCAAAAACGATCACCAAGTGTCAAGGTTGCCATTGTGCACACGTACGCGTCGCGCGCGCGCGCGTGTGTGTGTGCGTGCGTGCGGGTGCGCGCACTCTCTCTCTCTCTCACACCACACACATACACAGTTCGCCTCGCGTCTCACTCCCTACTCTTCACCGAACCAGCCGCGCGTTCCCCCTGGTCTCTGCCCGCTTGCCTACCTCCCACCCCTCAGCCGCTTACACTCACTCTCTCTCTCTACCTATCTCTATTTCTTTCGCTCTCTCACTCTCTCTCTGTCTCTCTCGCTCACTCCCTCCCTCGCTACGTCCCTTCCCCCTGCCCTTCTCGTACCGCCGCCTGCCACCGCGGTACCGCTATCACAACAATAGCGTTATCGCAATATCCGTAGCTTATTCCACGATGACACTGGTCACGACGCTTCGTGGCTCGCCGCAGCGGCCGTTCGGATGCACTCACAAGGGAAACGGTGCTCACTTGTGTCCGGCCCGACGCGATATACGCCGCGGCTTTTTTAGCGGAATTTCGCCGAGGCGCATTCGGCGATCAGCGTTTAGCGAGGGAGTCCCCCACTACTTGTTCGATTCACGCGGCAACGCGCAGCCGCGGCCGCTCTCAGGGCCGGCGCGCGGCGCCGTGAGCGGGCGCTCGCACGCGGGGGCGACTGGCTTGTTTACAAACAAATACCCGGCTGGTTGGCCGCTGGAGCCTGCCAGCCAGCCGCGCTGCTCCTTCGATCGACGCGAGACCGCCGGCGGGACATGCCTGCGCGCCTCGATTCATGTATTCTCGCTCGTTGAGATTGTATTGAGTGCACCTGTGTGCACCTCCCTTCATTAAAATTCACGAGTGTCTCTGTCGGGTATCCTCGTTGTTATCAATTCTGAAAGAGTGATGTAGAACGTGCATGTACATGGCTCTTTGTTTCGCCTCAAGTCTTCATTTCCCTTCGATTTCAGCGTTGTTTCAGCTTCCATTTAAATTAATCGATGTAACGCCGGTTGTTGCGCGATAGCTTTATGATTTCTTTTTTTTACGTTTCCTGCATGGCACATATGTTGTTGCCTGTTCTGTGAAAACTGACGTTTATAAGTGCAAGTGCACACAATTTTTATCCGACGAAACGTATATGCTACTCCTCGTTTAAATCTTCTCATCTGTCTGTCTACACACGCACGCACACATTGTGCGCGCATGTATCGACTTATTAATACATTATTAGTAATTTTTTTTCGCAAAAAGGACGCGTTTTACCAAAAGCGCCCAGACATTTAACCTCTCGCGCTGACAGACCTGAATGATGTCATAATCAGGCAGCCAATAGGATACTCCCGCGAATGAACATGCAAACACCTGACAACACACGTCGCTCGTCTCTCCAGCAATCACTGCCTTTTCGAGACTGAACTTGGAGAGAATTAATTCAAGCTGTTATCGAGTAATTGCGGCAAACGTATTATACTTACTTTGGTGACAGTAGAACGATAAAACGCGTATTTATTCCACTTCCCTCGATTTAACCGATTGATAAAGTAATATAGGTAACGCTATATATCGATTATAGAAAGAACCAATAAAAGGCTTGTGCGTCGTAAACAAGAGTCGCTGATTGGACCGCGCTTTCCCGCCATTACATTTTTATACGGCTAAATTTCACGCCCAACCGTATATTTGAACCTCTAGTACTTATTCGATTATTATAAAAGACCGATAAGTAAGAAGCAATATATTACTTCCGAAAGAATTTCCTTTTAATATTAAGGCTCCGGAGTAGCCAGCTAAGAACTTTGCGTTGACAGTAGCGACACAGTTCAAAACGACAAAAGGATGAACCAATAGAGTGCGTATAGCAAGCGCTACAAATACTTCGAAGCGTTTCTCTTTCTTCATCTATTTTTCGGATCAGAATAAAGGAAAAAGGAAGAAGGAGAAATGTTTCGAAGTATTTATAACACTTATTCGACTGTACTTATATGTGTGGAAAGTGACATATTGGCAACGAAATTTTGTGTTGCGTGCCATTTTATTATTATTTGTTTAATTGTGCGGGTGTGAATTGTAAACATATTTGTTAAACCCGTAAAAATGAACGAAAACCGAGATTAGTCTGGAATTTTATAGGTAGAAGCATATTTTTCACTCCTTTCAACGACTGTGAAATCGTGTGTTTTCCATGAATAGGGCCTTATTTCACGTATCTTTTACGGCTAATTACTGATTGTCAGGAAGGAAAAGGAGAGTTTTCGTCCATTTTCGCAAGTGTTTTCCAGCGATCTCAATTATTGTTTTACCCAAATATCTTTTTATTTACAAATGGCACGCGATATTTCTCAATGTATCATTTCTCGCCTATTACGAATCCAATATGGCCGCGGCTACTCCGGAGTCTTAATTAAAACATTAATCGTACTTTTTTAAACATAAATATAGTCTGTCACGCAAGAATATCGCCTAGACTGTTTTAAGAGAAGATTACTAGGAGATTTTACCACTGTGATATTCGTTAAAGGGTAGGGGAGATTATTACGCTTTGTGATAGAGACGCCAGTATTACTTTCCATTGTGACAAGAACACGTGATTTCCGAAATGAGTGCGTCGTATTTTAAACGTCTCAAGGCAGTATTCTTGTGTACTCACAATAAAAGGACCTAAAATGACTCATATAGTTACTGCTAAATATATGCATATGTCAAAAGATTTCGTACGGAATTGAGCGATACGATATAAAGAACAAAAAAATGTCGACGATTTTCCCGCGAGAGGAAAGACGCAAAAGACGTCGGAAAAAGAAGATAAAGTCATTTTCATGTTGTTTCAGCGAAACTCTGTTGACATTGCGACAAGCACAAAAGTTACTGACCAAAAAGGGAGTGAACATTAACGTAGTGACTTTGCAAAGGCGGCTAAACGAGGCGAAAATCTTTTGGCATAATACTATGCTGAAACCTCTCCTTAAACTAGAGCATACCGAAAAGCGATGCTTATGGGCTGCGCAAAATTTGAATCGTGATTGGAATAATATGATTTTTACTGACGAAGCGTTGTTTTGCACATTGGTTCCTGTCAAATACGCATGGTCTTTTCCGGAAAAATCGCCTTTGCAGAACACCGTTGAATATCCAATTAAGGTCCATGTTTGGGGGTGTTTCAGTATTCACGGTTTTGACACTTTGTATTTGTTTACTCACAATCTAAATGCTGAGAAGATATTCGAAATTGATCGGCGAACATTGTTAAAGTCTGCTGAGAAGTGGTTTGGATCGGATAATGAATTATGGATACTGCAAGAGGACAATGACCGGAAACACCGTAGCCGCTTGTGCACTGTATGGAAAGCCGAAAATGATATGCAGACTTTGGATTGGCCTGCGCAGTCGTCTGATGCGAATTCGATTAAAAATGTGTGGTCCATCATTAAGAGGAAGCTTCAAGGAAAGCGTGTGTTCATTTTAAAACAATTGTGTCGCCATGTCCGAGTTATCTGGCGTCTATCGTTACCGCAACAATATACGGAAAATCTTATAGAAAATATGCCAAAACCGTGCCAGCGAATTCTCGATAATAATGGAGACTGGACGATTTACTAGTAGTATAGTAAATGCGTAATAGTGCTTTTAATGCACTTTTAAATCAATCTATAAATTTCTTAAAAATAATAATTTTTCTTTCAGGTGTGCAGACGACATTTTTGTGTGACGGACTGTATAAATATATAATACAAAAAAAAGGTTGGAGGTTATAATGATTCACATTACACGATGCGATTCTTCAAAATGGCAACACCTTAAAACCATAAAGCGGGAAAATATTTTAACAAAGCGAGAAACTTATTGATTCTTACATTTTAACGAAAAAATTGTCTAAAAGGCGACCAATATTAAGCGCACACTCATACATAATATATTTATAATAAATGAATCACAACATTTTGTTAAAATTTGTTATATTTAAGTATTCACAATTCGATAGATCCAGTAGACGTGTGTGTGTGTTATGTGTGTGTGTGTGTGTGTTGTGTGCTGCATACAAAACCGATTTAACAGTATCATTTTCCGTACATATGTGTAACTTCAATAAATGACATAATGAATTCTTTCAATTTTTCTCCACCTATTCATCTATTTTATTGATGGGGGAGATTACGCTTGATCGTTCACTCGCGTGTATAAATACAGGATTATCGAACACTTAGAAAAAAAAAATTTTGCGTACGCACCGTTGAAAGCGTGTTACTGAAACGCCGCGAAAAATTCAACCGGGGAAAAAGAATCGCGTCTCTGGGAGGAAGTTTTTCTTTTTTTCTGACGTTGTCATCGTGGACGCGGCGTCCGACAGTCGGGTCGCAAAGAATTCCAGTAATACGAAGGAGACAAAGAAAGAAAAGGGGGAAAGATAGCAAGGAGGAAGAACGCACGCACGCGCGCGAATCCTATCCTTAGTCTAGAGCCATGCCCTCATCGTCATCGTCCTTCTTATCGGGGCTAGCGGCCGACGATGGCTGCTTCTTGCTCTTGTCGTCTTGGCCCTGCTGTTGCTGCGCTTGCTGCCCTTGGCCGTTCTTCGCTTCGGACTCCAGCGCGCTGACAAACTCTTCGATGTTACCACTGGCCGCGGCATTGACGGCGTCCGGTCCCAAGCCAAACTGACGGATGACTGGGCCCGCCTGGCCCGACTGCAAAGCAGACCAGAACATTGATAGCGCCTGGGAGAACTGGGGGGACGAGAGCGTGGTACACAGGTTGTCCCCGGGCGGCAAGTGCATGTTCATGGCACTCTCCAGGCTCTCCGTCGTAGAGATCGCCGCTGGGATGGCATTGGTCAGCTCTGTCGCTACGCCCCTCTGCCGGACAATAAGCTGCGCTGTAGCTGGCCGAAAACAGCAGATATAACCGGAGAGACCTGCCCAACTGCTCAACAGAGCCAGAGCCTCCGACAGCCAGGTAAGGTTCGGACGGAGAACAATATTGAACATTGAGAAAGCCATGCTTCTCTCTTTCTCTCTCTGCCTTTCTCTAGCGTTGCCTTGAACTGAATTATTTCTAACAACTATCGATGTGTAATTATGAATTATTCGCGAAATGATCGTTGTTGCCTCTGCCTCGACATCCCTCGTCAATATCATCGTTCAATGATCTATTTAATGATCCCATGGTTGTTTCGAGCATTTCTCACCAAGCTTAGCAATGAGCACATATTGTTAGCAAACGTAATCTCACGGTGTATGGCAGACAATGTGTGACGTAATTATGTTTGACAATACGACAAAGGACACCGCTGCGCGAAACTGATGATTACGCTACACTGAGAGCCGCTAGCGGCGGCAATAATGCAATTCTTTTCATAGATTATTAAAACCTTACCGAGTCTCAGTGGCAGAGGGGAGTAAACGCAACATTGTGGGATAAGTTGGCTATGCTTTGCATGATACATAGTCAGTTGTTTACGTGACTTCCAATAAGACTATCATCTACAAGCGTGTATAGACTAACCGACGGCTCGTTAAAGCTCCCCTTCACACACATGAATATATTAATATAATTTCTTCCCTTCAAACGACAAACTCATCTTCTTACTTTCAACTTTTGTTAACTTATCGCAATAGTAATGCTTTCGACATCAACGACTTTTTAATAGATGATGAATGCATGAAATTACCATGTTATTAATTCTGCGTGTTCATATGATTATTTATATGATAGAACTGCAAAGACGTGAAACGCACGTGTAATCACAAGAGAATTTTAGTAATCAGACGAATGGAGATAATAAGAAAAATGGTCTCTTACTTGCTCAGTTCGCTAATTTAAAGAATAGCTTTGCTTGTAAAAGAACTGAAAGACCCTGAAAGCAATTTTGTGTCGGGTTTTATATCTCTTATACATATATAGTAGCAATAGCTGTAAAAGATATGCAATTAGTAACACAACAGATGTTTCATTCCTGCAAGCCACTCTACCAGAAAGTATTCTATATCATACTTCAGGAGCTTCCAGATAGGATTCCCTCTAGTTGCATTCATATACATAAATAACTTCATAATTTGCTCTCTAAAAATTATCTTTCTTTTGCCACATCAACTCGTTACCGTTCAACCTCTATCTGATAAGCGAGTATAAACTCGCACGTTACTGATCAGAAGATTTGTTGCAAATATAACGATATTTCCAGCATTCAATTCACTTTGGATGAAAGAATGTCGCAATAATGAAGCCATTTGATCATACTGTTGAGGTTCTTAAGATATTCACTGGTGTTGTGAATAATTGAATGTCACTTATCAATACTTAACAGTATACGAATTAAACTAATTCTAACTCAATAAGAAGCGTAAAATATGACATTACCTGCACGGTCGGTTCCGCCGGTGGTGGTGTTGGAATTTCCGACAGAAAATTCTGCAAGTCGCTAAGCTGTATTCTATTGCTTGGACCCGTTGTTGTCGGAGCGGACGGTGTGGACGGAGCTGGTGTTCTTGCCGCTGCTAATTTATTATTATTATTAGTATCCTCATTATCAGCATCTAAATAATGTATTGTTAGAATATGCTGTATTACATCTGATCGCAGTTCAACTTACTCGTAGATTTAGACGATTCAGTGGTAGACCCAGGAGTCAACGAATGAGTCGCTCTAGATGTGTTCGTAGTGGCTGGGGTGGACGAGGTTGTAGTGGAAGCTCTTGTGCTTTGAACACCATGCGGTCTATTCATTGTGCCTAACAAACTGCCAAGACCGCCAATCTGGCTGACACCACCAAATAATTGTATCAGTTGCTGCTGTGACATGTTGTTCAACAAATTCTGAAGATCTCCCTCGGGATTAGCGCCGCTGCTTCTCTGAGATCCAGGAGTTGGTGGATTATTAAGTACATCGTTGATTTTTCTACAGTATTCCTCATCCTTGTCCGTTTTGTGATCCTATAAGAACAAAATATGCATTTTATACAAATTATGCGATATGAAAGCTACAAAACTTTCAACATAAAGTTATGTAAGTGAGACAAATATATCTATGTCAAGTGCTTGTAAAAAATCTCAGAGCAATATAATTCAATGTGAAAGTACATGTTCTTATTTGAGTTTTAATGGTCTCTGCAATAGTACACTATAAATTTGTATTTTTCACCTGTAACCAAAAGAAGAACTTCTTACTCGATGACTTGAACCGTAGAAGATACACTCTGCCAGTCTTACATTGAGCAGCATGTTTAAATTCGCAATCATCGGGGAAGATTATCAAGTCCTAAAAAATTTAATTGACTTGTAGAGATAAGTAGCAATTTAATAAAATATACAAGTCGATATACCATACAAAATATAGAAGATATCGATGATGTCAAGCAGGAAATATAGAATAGAAAATAAAAATAGAAATAATCAAAAGGTGCACTTTTTAGGCATGTAAGACCAGAGGTAAAGTGCACGTTTGGCACTTCTTTTTTCTTCTATTATACGCATTATTTGTAAAGAATTTCTTAAAAATTTGCTGGAGGCAAAACTATCGTACATCTTCAACAACTCCGCTCGTGCGATCCTTCCAACAGAAGTGCATCAACGAGTCGTCGGACTGATAGACGTACAGTTGGCCCTTTCGTGTATCCGGATAAACTATTTTATTATCCTTCATAGTCATCTTGCCGGCCTTGAATTCCACCAGATTTTTCGAGGCTCCGCGCGACGCGGTGTTGCCAAAAAGCGCTCCGCTCGACATGCCTGCCGATATAGAAAAAAAATCGCTGTTTGACACGAGCGAGACTGATCGCCCGATTGTCGCCCACTTTTACGGAGCGCGCTGATCAACGCTGATGACACTGCACTTTAAGATGGCGGCGTCGTGAGCCGACGCCAATGCCTGAGAAGATAGAAGAAGGGACACGTAAGAATGAACGAGAGGGAGAGAGCGAGAGAATGTACGGTCGCTAGCGCTACCACGCGGAGAAACTCTTAGCTAGGGATGGGCAATATCGAAAAAATATGAATTGGCTTTCGAGCGATCGATTACAAGAATGTCGATTTTGAGCAATCGATTAAATTTTAAAAAACTTGACGATCTAGCCGACTGATTAATTTTTTTAATCTCGTAAACGACGAAATGAATGTCCTTTTGGCAGCTAAATCCAAGTTCAAGGACTGCAATTATACTACCGAAGACTGAGAATTCGAACCAATTAGTATTTCATCAATTCGTAAAATCTAAAGAATCAGAGATGCATCGAGAATGGACGAAAGTAGCAACCAGGATATTCGTTTTTATCGAAAGAAAAACATTCTTTGCTGGCTTTTCTCTTGTACAAATTCGAGGGATATGTTACAGTAATAGCAGATACGTAACGCATTTATCGGTTATTGAAATTGCGTCGTATGCGCGAAACACGACGACCTTGCGGACGAAGTTTCTAAAGAGCCGCGCATATCTCGTGCAGCGATCTCGAGGGGGGCATCGAGTAGTTCCCGTGCGGAAATAAAAGTGAATGCGTAAAATTCTCCTGACAAGCAGCGATTTTATTTCATCAATCGCGCCATACACACCGGAGACAGTCCGTTGACGTCCTCGTACGGGCGTTTCGTAGTGCGCTGGATGATTAATAAAGATGTCGTTGATTACTGGTTACGCTATTTAATCTTAATATCACAAAGTTTACATCCGACGCTTTTTTTTTGAACTGACTCGAGTTTCGTATTCTATTCGTGCGCTGTGACGATGTATTACACCTCGTGTGTTCAGCTTTTTTCCCTTTTTACTTATTTATTTTCCCCTTCTCGTCGAGTCTTCAGTCACCTCCGTCACGGAGAAACTTCGCGAAAGACTGACACGGTCAGTGAGATACGAAGCGAGCGAATATGCGACGCGCAGTCGGCAAAATCACGATGGCTTGCACGACGGGAACCTCTTGATGCTAATGCACGAGATCGGTTTGCGCCATCTCCGCTTGTTCTGGTGTGCGTTGGATTTCGCATGGTGGCTGTTGCAGGTCGCTTTGCGGTCCTCGCTAATACGGTCCAACTCTTGGAGTCTTCGTTCTTCTGCGAAGAAAGAAACAACATTTTTTTCCCTTGTGAACGCTTTTCCCCACCACTAATGTGTGACGACAAAACGGTGAGAGGGCCGCGTGCTTCTCCATTAGTGTGCGTGTGTAGTAGTGTATCACAAGTACGTTAAAATACAAAAATCGTCGTCGTCGTCGTCGTTGTAGATGAACCCACCGTTCAGCTGATGTTCCGTGTAATATATGGGATTCTCATCGACACCGTAATGATATTCCATCAGGTATGGCAGAACAGTCATGCTGTGGCATCCGTCTTTCTTAAGGGGCGGCACAGGCACCTCCTCCTGTGTTTTAGGATGCTTACATATCGTCCAGGCGTGCCTTTTAACCTGTTGCAATGTAAATCTTTCTTCCGCATCCTTCTGCAACATGCCCTCTATAAGCGATTTTAAAGGCTCCTCTATTTCTTTTGGTATAGTATATTCACCCCTTCCAATGTTTTCGTATAATTTATATATATTATCGCCCTCGAAGGGATATAGACCTGTTGTTATGTTGTACCTGTAAAATAAACAGATGCGGTGTTGCTGGATTACTTGCGTCGCAGAGTCGTTAGAAAACGTTACTCACAGTGTCACCCCGCTGCTCCATATGTCTACTTTGAAACCTGAGAAACTTTCGCAGCCGTTTGCGATTTCGGGCGGTTGAAACGCCGGCGATCCTTGACCTATCGTACATGTATCGTCTTTGGAAAACATGTCTAACGCCTAGCACAATGGAGATGCGTAATCACAAACAGGAATGAAGTACGAGTTGTTTTTGCAAAATATGTGTGTTACGTTATTTCATATAGCGAAATACTCGGTCCCCCGTCTTTTCGTTAACGCATTTAAACGCTTCCGCTTCCGATATTCGGCCTTTTAATAATTACAACAATCGCGGATATTTGTGTTTTGAGATCAAAGTAACGAGAGAGAGAGTTATACGTAGTATATTGTACCTCTGCGACGCCAAAATCACTAATCTTTAAGGTACCATCTAGGGTTAATAACAAATTTCCAGGCTTTATGTCTTTGTGAACTATTCCTTTACTGTAAAGGTACTCTAAACCATCCAACAACTGGCAGAAATAATCGTGCGCCTGCCAGAGTGGAAGCTTCTTGGCTGGTGTGCTTTCCAGCATATCCTGTAAAGGATCTAATAAATAGAAATCTAATTGTTGTTAATTCATGCAAGCCATTGTTACAGATATCGGTAGCAGAGACACAGTGTGATCATAGTGATTCTTATTATATAATCTTATTATTCATATTGATTAAGAAAATCGATTACATTTCAGGGTTTTTTTGTTACAATGAATTCTTTTTGCGGCTAAATTCAATTACTTTTGTAAGACTAAGTATATGTATCTTTTGTTATATTTCTGTATACATAAACATTACAAAACATTACAAGATATTTTTCTCTTTTATTTCTACAATGATTGAAACATGAAGTCTAAAGACACAGATCTGGAGAATGGCTACAAATTTGTCATTAATATTTCTGATTGCAATTCTTATTAATTATTACAACATAATGAACCAATATTTAAACATGTCTCATGGAATAATAAGCATTAACTTAAGAATTACAATGTAAATATCATTGTGTTTTCAGAGATGGTTCAAAACCGTTTATAACCAATACATATATATATGCATGTATGCGAGTACGTATGTGCTTCTAATAAATATTATAAATAAGAACAAATACATATTAAAATTTACCTGTAATCCACATACGCAAAATTCCATAACTAAATACATCTTTTCTTTCTCATCACTATATAAAACATCTACAAGATTTATTACATTCTTATGTTTTAATATCCTTAACAACTTTATTTCCCTGTAAAAAAAATGTAGCACAATATTACTAGATAGCAAATATAAGAGAGAAGCAAAAACAATGTTGCGCTATCTTATTGTATTTGTATATAAATTATAAAAAATTGCAAGGTATAATGCATACTGTTTGTTAAAGAAAAGAGAAAGTAGCATTTTCGTTGAACACACCGTTGAACATTCACTTCTCCGTTCGGTATCCTCCGTAATTTTCTTTTCTTTAGTATTTTGACGGCTCTTCGACAAAGCGTTTGTGAATCCAACACTTCTTTCACCTTCCCATAACTACCTTCGCCGAGAACGTCGCCCATGACATACTTGCCGATAAATTTACACTTCTTCTTCTTCTCCTCGTATATAATTTGGTTCGAATCGACTCTATGAAAAAACATATTAATCTCGTCCAACTCATAGTTTGGATCATCATTGATCCACATAACTGGTTTGATATCGCGTAATATGTCATTTTCAATGTCCTCGTCGTTATCGTTTTCCACATCCTCCCCGTTCCCATTTTCTATGTCGTCCTCGTTGGGGTCACATATCATTATTTTATTTATTTTGTCCATTTTTCACTCTGTTAGAGGATTTATTTAACTACACGAGATCATACGAATGATCTAACCTAAAATTCAACCGGCACAACCATTGTTGTGAACATTGGTGAGCTACGCGTAGAGGTATGAGGTTTGTTCATTTTACTCGTACTTGTTGCACTTTTGCACTAAGTGCACATTAATCTGTTCGTGTAAAGCCCGTATCAGACTACTGACTGAAGATTGAGGTTGAATTGAAACTTGACCAATCAGTGTAGAATTCACTAAATTTCACTAAACCTGAGTTCAGTTAACTTTACACTGATTGGCTAAATTCAATTCAATCTCAATTTCTAATTCTTAGTCTGATACGGGCTTAAAGATCTATCCAAGCTAACTTGCATTGTTGCATATTGCATATGCATAAGGAAATCAACCAATTATTATTTGTGCAGAAAAAGCGTGTCTTCTATATCGACGATAATAATAGTTAGATTTTACATGTAAGAATATTTTTTTTAGAAGAAATTCATCTTCAGATGCTACGCGACTCATTTCATCGACTGCAAAGTATCTAAACATAAATTTAAAGCCCATGTTAGACTACGAATTAAGATTTAAATTAGACAAATTTCAATGCAATCTTAATACAATTTTAAGGGAGTTAGATAATAATATATAGAAGTTTGTAAACTCTAAACGCAGTACTGTTGACCCTATACTATGGATACGTTCCACTTAACGCTCGCAATGATCGCGATTATTGCATCATCCATGTTTCTCTTGCATGTTAAATAAAGACAGAACGATGCTCGCAATCGTTGCGAGCGTTAAGTGGAACCTTTATATCCTATACTAGGCGTTTGATCGAAATTTTCTAACCCCATATCCTTAGTAAATAACTAACTCAATTGCTTTACTCAATGCTTGATTTCCCATGGAGCGTTCATAGAAAAATATCCATAAATTTTGACTGTGATTTACTTTTTAAACGATCTTCCCGTGACACTTGCAAGCGATTCCGTTGGTCGCGAGCATCGCCATTAAAGGCGATTCTCCCCGCGACAGCGGATTGGTCGTCATAGAAACCGTCCGCCTAATCATTCCAGAATCAGGGTTCCGGATTGGCCGGCGGTGTCGGTCACTTTCTCCCTGGATAGTAGCCGTTACATAGTTCGTGCGAACATCCTATTTATTACATAATATTTTCGCGTAATAACCGGCGAAAAAGCCACGTAAAACGTCGAAAAGCATCGCCAGTTGGCCTACGGAACGGATCGCGTGACGCGGGATCGATTTCCGGCGAGTTTCCAGTCGCAAGAATGGCGTTGAGATCGATTTGCCGGCTGTCAATTGATTCGACCTTCAGGCACTCGAGCCATTTCGGAGCCACCGCCCGCCCGAGACGACCGTCCTTTGACACGCTCGCACGAAGTTTCGCCGCAGCAGCTGAAAACATGGGTCTGCCACGCGTTTTCTTCGACATGACCGCGGACGACAAGCCCGTGGGTCGCATCGTGATGGAGGTGAGTGCGAAAACGTACGGGCACGCCGTGACGCCTAACCGACGATACTTGGACCGCGACACCTCGATTCCGGCGTGCATGGCCATCTTGATTTTCTCTTCCGAGCCGGTTGCTCCGCGGATCGTTCTCGCACCCGCCACCGAGACACGCGTCTCGATCACATTGTCGGGGCCGATTGTCGAGCTGGTTCGCTTTGCGACGGAATAAACGGCGAACGCGACCGGCGATTGTCGGCCTCGTGAATCAGCGAAATCACGGCCACGAACGGCCGTTCGTTCGCGGTGCATCATGGTCGCGCGGGTTCTCCTGCACACGGTCCTGGCCATCATTGCGAAATTTTCCATTGACCGACGAGCCAACGCGCAATTACGAGCGAGCTGTTACAGCGCGCACGTGATTTCGCGAGTTTCGCCGCCGAGACCGGCGGAGGGAGAGAGAGAGAAAGAGAGGAGTAGCTGTGGTTTGAGCGGAAATTGGAAAAATGAGACAATGCGAATATTCCGAGTAGTATGTAAACGCGGGGAGGAAGGAGGGAGGGGTCCGTGGACACGCGGTGGATAGTCTTTTATCGTCTCGGACCGTCTCGGCGATGCGCGATCGATAAGATAAGATATAAGACACTTCATATTTTTCTTTTATCTTTCCGTTTTTAACTACGACATCGCGAGGGACACGTTGCAAATATACGAGAATTTCGATATAAAACGAATATTTGCTTCTCGGTGCATCGAATGGTGTCTCTCGTCGTGTGCGAAAACGCGCGCGCGATCACATCGTACATCCGACGTGGCGCATTCTATTAATATCCGCCAGCAATCTCGGAAATTAGCGGTGCTCGTTAGCAATTTCTGCTAAGTAATAGAATAATATTAGAATTTCATTGTAACGTTCAGCTTCGGAGTTTTATAGACAGATGGCGCGAGCTAAAACGCACCGTCGATACGTCGTTCCTTCGTCGCGGTATTTGCGTGTTCACCGTTTTTCTATTCTCTCATTTTTACAAAAATTTGAATTTCGATTGATCTTCCTATCCGCGTTATCGAATACGACAGCGACGCCAAGTTGTATTGTACGATCACACGATGTCACGCAAGTTGAACACACAATGAACGCCCTCGCGAAAGAGGGTCGACTACATTCGCCCGACTTGACGTGATTTTCCAGCTGAGGAAGGACGTTGTTCCCAAGACGGCGGAGAATTTCCGCGCTCTCTGCACCGGCGAGAGAGGCTTCGGTTACAAGGGAAGCAGCTTCCATAGGGTCATACCGAACTTCATGTGCCAGGGTGGTGATTTCACCAACCATAACGGCACCGGTGGCAAATCCATCTACGGCACGAGATTCGAGGACGAGAACTTTAAGCTGACTCATACCGAGCCCGGCATTCTCTCTATGGCGAATGCTGGCCCCAACACTAACGGCAGTCAATTCTTTATCACCAGTGCCAAAACCAGTTGGCTCGACGGGAAGCATGTTGTATTCGGAAAAGTCGTCGAAGGAATGGATGTTGTTAGAAAGGTGCGTACTTAGCCTGCTCAGGGATGAATCTCAACTGTATCTCGGGGAAACACGTTCAATTATGGATCGTGACTGTTTGTCGCGCGCTTTTGGCGAAAAATGCGCGTGTACACACGTGTTAGGGAGAACTCAGACCTTAACAGAAAAGCAGCAGCCAATCAGAACTCGCGCTGGTAATAAGCAGTGGATAAAGCAAGAAACTGTCGGCTACCGGCGCGAGTTCTGATCGGCTTCTGCTTTCCGTCAAAAGGTGAATTCTCCCTTATTGGCTGCGTTCAAGGAATACAATGGTTGAGTTAGCGCTCAGCGTCATCGGAATAGTTTTTTTTAGCTCTACCATGAATCCGAAAGTATATCTTAAAGGCGACGATCACTTAACGGTTGCACGACCGTTGTTTTCTGAACGCACTCAAGTTCTTCTAAGACATACCTTGATTCAGGGGAAAATTAAACACTGAATGATACTGTTTTTCAGTTGGAGGCTATGGGATCTCAGAGTGGCAAGACCTCAAAAAAGATCGCAATAGCGGACAGTGGAGAGTTGTAGATCGACTAGATATTGTGATGACTGCATTTTTATTTAGCTGTTGCATACATATTTACTGTCTTTATTACCCCTACTTCCATTCTCATCGAACACACGTCCTCTCCCCCCCCCCCCCATCTGATGCTGACGATTCACTCTTGTCTGATCAAATATAGAAATTTAAAGCTTGTTCAACATAGAGACAAAAAGAATTGCCTGCATTGTGATCCTCACCTTTCTTCTTCTTCTTCTTGGCTTCCTTTTCCCCTCATGTTTCTCGTTCTGTTTTTGATTGAGCTTCTCCTCCTGTGTTTTCATCGAACGGCAGGCTCCTTCCCGAGACAAAGTTGTACTTTGATGAAAAAGATTTTACGGGCTCTTTGTTGTTTCGTTCTGCAACCTGTGTGTGTGGTTTTACGCGCGAGACTTGTGTTAAACGCGATGATTTTCATGCAAAAAATCCAGATTCTTCCACGAAACACGCTCGCTTAGTACAACAATTGAACAATGTGTAGCGAAAGAACCAATAGGCGCAATAATCTCGAATTCTTACGTACCATCCTGCGAGAGGATCAACCCGATGTTCGGAATATAAGGAACTCTAACAAAACGCGGTAGATTGTCCCGGAAACTAAGTAAGAAAAAGAAACTGGAACTTTGATGTACCGATTCCAGTGTTTTAATTCCACTGTTAACCGATGCATTTGTCCTTAGCGTCGTATCCTTCAACTTTACGTACGATGCGTATATAACACTTCTACTATGCATATGTGTGTGTATGATTCTCTTACACATAATGTCAGATGTCACTATTACAGTCCTCGTTTTATGTTCCTTCGTATAAGTGTATTCTTTTGTCCATCATTCCTCTTACCGAGTATAAAAAAAAAAAAATACGTGTTTGCTTATTGTAATGCGGGCAATGCCTGGTAATAATAATAATAACAACATCTTATTATGATACAACACCAACGAGTTGAAACAAAAAATGTAGTTGCAACAGTCTGAATAGTTCCGATTTCTTAAAAATAAAATTGTTTTCAGAAAGACCCACAGGCTTATGTCTCATTTACAACGCGCGCATCCCTTAGAATTATAAGATCGACGACGCGTACTTTGAACTTCAACAAAGCCTCGGTATTTATCAGGCTGAAATTCGTTAGTTTTTATAATCGTTCGCATCGTGTTTGGATATGCATTGATTTGTTAATCGACAACTTGACACTTCAAGCAGCATAAAGCGATGAAGTAATGATATTGTCATGTTACTTAGTAGAAAACTACATTAATTATTTCATCGTCCAAGTGCGTACGTTAAACCGTATTTGGATATTTTATCTATAACGATCTTTAACGTGCACTAATCCGGCGTAGTATGGGTAATCGAATTCATTATTAGCATGAATTGAGGTGATAAGCGAATCAATCGGTCTGTACGAGGCATTCAAGTCTCAAAATTACCGTTTCTTTTTTCCTACAGTAAACGTTACATTGCGAACGATTATATGGGGGGAGCATATCGAGCGTAAGATCAATGCAGACCTTTCCCGCTGCCCTTTTGCACCGCTCTTCGCGTCGAGATACTTGAATATCGTGTGTCATTAAGGCTGGGACATTGATATACGGGACAAAATTGTGGCGTTTTTCAACATTTACGATCAACGTATATTTCATCCTTCCACATTCGTGTCATACCGATCTCGGCAGAGAACATTGATAGAGAACGTACGGTATCGACCCGGTGTGCAAGAAATCAGTAACACAACGTTATTACAACGATATTTTATAATATGTAACGTTTTCAAATATGTAGCTCTTAATGTTGTCATACAACGTCATTGTCAGCAATATTTGATCGAAACATTAAAAATAATGTTTCTATGCCGATTGATCTTAATATATAAGAACGTAATATTATCAAGTAACAGTTCAAAAACATTTATAAAATATCATGTCAAAATGTTTATGAGATCCACATAAAATCAATGTTTCAAAAAACTGATTTGACGTTTCTTGCTTACCGGAGATACCTTTTGCCTATGTACAATTTCCGTGTTACATCAGGACACTTCGGTAATCTAGGTAAACATACAAAGAGCCTCTGCGCTAAGTCTAAGGTACACACAAGCGAATCTCACGCCTTAACGGGTTCTCCTCAAACGCAATGACGATGGGAAAAACGTGACGGGCAAGAAGGACGCCAACTAAATTGATAATCTCTCTTGATCCGCGCCTCGACGTGTAGCGATATGATATGACCGAATGTACCCGGACAGCACAAAGTTTTGAAAGACGTCTTAAGGAATCGATAATAATAATAATAATAGTAAAAAATAATAGTAACAACAATAATAATAATAATAATAATAATAATGGCTTCATTTTATACATAATACATAGCCCAGTGAACATACTAACAGTAATATTACATCAATATTATAATTTATTACTCAATAATATAAATGCAATATGGCGTGTATAATAAAACAATTACATTATCGAGTGGGAAATTATAATATTATTGTAATGTGAACGTTAGCTGATGTTTACTGGGAAGTGACTACCGTTTTCATAAATAAAAGAAGCGAAGAAAAAAAACAGAGCAATGACACGCAAAGGCGAGGCGTCAGAAAATACCGTTCCAAGGCATAATCTGGAGAGGCTACTGGGAAGGTCCTACTTTTTCCAAAAGTCTTTTAGACGTCCTTAGGATAACCTTTAGACATTTATACAGTCTGGGTAGTATCTCGCTTCATCGCTATTGTACTGTAAGGTACACGACGACTTCTTTTTTTTGGTTTCTTTTTGTACATATATCAGTATCTCTACATCAGTGGCGGTTCGTGCGGTCGTGATCTAGAAAGAATCGTGGAGCGGGAAAGCGAAAGGAACAGGAAAACGCGGTGCGGCGGGAGGAAGGACGACAGATAAAACGCAAGTGACTTACCGGACCAGCCGCCACTACACTCCTTCAAGAATATATATATATATATACCATATCGATATTAATATATATATATGTTATCATATATCTCTCTAACGTGCTCCTTTGACCCGCAAAGGAGATAGATCAACGTTCACAACTCTATCGATACGTTATCTTTGTTGATACGAGCATTTACACAGCACAGAATATCTTGTTTTACACTGTAATATTTGTCGTTGGGATTTTTTGCGCCAACGTGGACTACCGTTACTCGCTATTATCCTCCACTGATCCACCTCGTCGCTTCGTCACGCAATTTCTTTTCGCCCGAAAAGAGAATTCCGGGCCGCTGTTCCGTACACAGCTACGTAGTTCGTCGGTCCGGTAAATATCGTTGCGCAGATACATGTTCTTTTCAGCTGAACTGAGTCTGCATTATTTCGAGAAATTTACATATACATTAGATCTGTTCTTTTTAGCTGAACTGGTTGAACTAGTCCGAGAAATTTACATACACATTGAAGCGTATGAAGCATGCGTACGAGATTCTCACGCTTCAGTGTGCGTAAATTTTTTGAACTGGCGAAGCCAGTTCAGTTAAGAAGGACGGATCGATAATCATGTCACAAAATAACTGCGCAACGACACCGACAATTGTCGATAAACATGTTTACAGAATAACAGCTCCTGTCTCCGGGTTCTCTGTGTTCTGTATATATTCACCGACAATTGTCGGTTTGGTCTATGCAATTGCACAGATATAATCGCACCGCAGCTGCGCAACGAGTACCGAACCGACAATTATCGTAAAGAACAATCGGCAAGCGCGTACGGAACGCAGCACCTGTACGCTTGTGTGCTGTAACCTTCAGCAATAAAATTGCCGTTAAGTGTCGTCCCACAGATATATCGGATAATAGCGCAACAACGCTTAACGATAGCGATATTATCATTAAAAGTCGCAGAACACGAGGATGACGTTCACCAAACTTCGGTCAAGCTAATCGAGGAATAAACGCCTGAATCGCCGACTCCAATCTCCGACTGTATACTTTGTTGTCCGGCGATAATTGAAAAATTAATAATTCTATATTATTTTATATGCTTTTCTTTTAATATATATTAATAAATTAATAATTTCTGTATCTATTTTAGAGCGAAACAGAGTAGGTGGTACTTGACCGATATAGCGATTTGAAGTTGTCAATTGGACTAATCGGAGTTCGGTGAGAAGGTCACCCTGAGCATACGCAGGTACGTCCACGTGGAAGCGCGGGACATTCGTTCGAGGCTTCCGAAATCGAGGGAGGGGGGGGGGCGTGAATGCAGAGCTACCATACTTCACATCGTAATATACAATCGAAGTAATTTCGTGAAGACGTGGAAAAAAAAAGAAAAGAGATCAAGTCGTGGAGGATTGTCGGTGGATTGTACATCGTCGACGTCGCGTACCTCGTGGAGAGGAACGAGCCGAGTCGTGGGATCGTCGGGAACGGTACGACGTTGCCGATGGTGCACTACTTGACAAAGAGGTCCTTGAGAGAGGAGCAGATCGAGGATTCGCAGTCCGGAGGTTGTTCCTGCTCCTTGTTACCGCCCGAGAACCAGCTAGCCACTTTGCTGGAGCGTGGCTTGTTCGGTGACATGGATGACTTTCCGGATGAACTAGTCGGCGCTTCCGCGTCAGTTCCCTTGGCCGTGAGTATCTTCTCGATGGCATTGCCGAGCACCTGTCGACGTTGAGTGGAAAGTTACGTTTTATCTCGCGTCATCGCGCGAGAACTTTAGCCTTTTTCCTTGGGAGTCCGAGATCAAGTCAAAAGTACGGCCGAACGAGCGAGAGGCTCGTTGCTCACCGGCGGAATCGATAACTCGCGACTACGATTTTTCCCAGGGGAATTGAGCCGTTTACGTCTCGCACTCGCGAATTCCACGGTACGTCTCCTCTGTATATCCGATGAAATAACTTTCCCTTGAGTTGTTCGATAAATTCGTACGGTTTTCGCGAAGGTTTCCAGATACTTTTATAGCTGGACTTTTATAGTTGGACATAACTTGAATAATATATCGACTGTCTTTCTCAATGGTGGGTCGTCGAAGGAGAAAAAGCGAAAAATAAAAAATACAGTTAGGCATAACTTTATCCAGTAATATATTTACTGTTTTTCTCGATAGCGGGTCGGCCAGAAAGAAAAAAAAATTAAAGTTGTATTTAACTTTAAAATGTCGACTTGGTTTTTCATGAAAATCCGCACGAACTTATCGAATACCACCCGATGTTTAACGAACTCTGTTCCTTTCTCCGAATTGACATGATGGAAATCCGTATAATCCGTAGAACACGTGAAGTATACGACTACATTGAGAGAGAAACGTACTCTGTATTGATGACTGTAATAACACAGTGAAATAATTACAGTCAGGGAAATCATTTCTGTGCAGCAGGTGCTACTATAGCGTCAATGATAATAATCTCACATGCATGTTATTATTTTCTGTTACTTGCTGTTATTACTTTCATGCTGGGTCGATGAGAATATATCACTCGGTTCCGAAAATAACTATAATTTCGGTGAGTTTAATCCCTTTTCTCTCTCTCTCACTCTCTCTCTCTCTCTCTCAATGTACACTCGCATCACACGAGTCGTCTTACCTGTGCGTCCACCTTGGTGCCGCTGCTGTCGTCCCAGACGACCTTGTGCCTGGTGTCCAAGTCCTTCGTGGGGGAGGCCTTGCCCAGCGTGTCCTTGACTACTTGCACCATCCTCGACTTGTCGAGCCTGAGGAATCGCGGGTTCTCGTTCTCCACGCAACGGTTCTTCTTCGAGATCGGCTGGTGCCGCTTGACGAACCAAGTGCTCGGCGCTATGAGGGAGGCGGGCGTGGCGGTTTTGCCGCTGTTGTTGAACGCTTTGCTCTTGGCACCGCTCAGGATGGACACGTCGAAGCTGTTTGAACGAGAGCTCTTGAGCCGACTGCGCTTCTGTTCCGCTGTCTTGCTGGACCAGCTCGACTTCGGCTCGTCCTTCGAGCTCGTGGTGCCGCACGTGTTGATCTCCGTCGCGGAGGACGTCAGGGAGCTCAGGATGGATATTAGGTCGGTGTTGGAACATATGATGCCTGCCGCCGGGCTGCCCGGCGCCTCGACCTCGCAGAGCGGCCTCGTCATCTCGGACGCGCGTCTACGCAAGGTCGACGTGGACGCGACGGACGCGGAGAACTCGGAGAACCGGCGCTTCTGCTGCTGCGTGTACTTCTGCGTCGAGCTGCCGTTACCCTCGAGAAGCTGGATCTCACACACCCGCTCTCGGGACGGGGTCTTGTACATTTTTAAACGTACCTGAAAACGACCGCGTTACGCGAACGAGTATTAAGCGAAGTGTGTCGTTCGCTTAAAAATACATTCTAAGGGCGGTGCTCGTAATCTGATCTTGTATTCAGGCTCGTCGTAAGTTCATCTCGAGATGCTGAGTGATCAACGAAACGGTCCTTATGGTAGACCCTACGATCTTATACGCTTAATTTGTCGGAGTGAAACCCCCACTCAAAACGAGTGAAAATTTAAATCCGATGTTTACAATGGAGATACCACCACTTGGAATCGTCGGGGTAAACGTTTAACTAGAAGTTAGAGTGGATTTTCTCAATCCATATGAATGAACGTTACACACATAATTCATACAGATTATTAGAGATTATTTAGATTACATAAATGAGAGTGAATCTGTTCCCGTGACGGGGATAATCAGATTCGCTCTTCAATTTCGGATGGAAATGTTCGCTCGAAAAATTCAGAGTGGGCGAGGTTCATTTTATATGGATAAAAAATCACTCGCCAGTTCGAGTGACTCTGCTGCCATTCTAGTTTTCGAGTGGAATTTCACTCATAGAAATTTAGAGAATATAAAGCTGAACTTGCGAGACGATCCTAAACGTAATATTAGACTGTGAATGTAATCTTAAATGTCTGTATGCTAAAGACATTTTCTCGTAAATTCTCGCAAAGATAATTATTATTTATTATTATCATTATTATTATTATTATTATTGCACGCATCTAGTCTAGCCCTATACACTGAGAGAAAGATTTCTTCAAATTTAATAAATTTTATTGCATCCGAACAAATTTCATTATTGTCAATTCCTCCAAAGAAACTAATGTTTCGATTAATAAATACGATTGTTAGACTTTTCAACGAATATGTATCTTTATCTTAAATAAAAATTTTGGAACGAAAGATAATTTTCTTTTAAAAATTAATAATTTCCTTTAAAAAAAATTATTTATTTCATTTTACATATTTATTGTAACCAAATAATATTTAATTTGGTTAAAAGACATCATTTCACATAATAGCTATTCTTTCTGTTAAATAATAGTTTTCTTGAATAAGACAATAAAATTTTTACTCAAACAAATAATGTTTCGTATATGTTGTTTCTACGAAATTTTAGTCAAACAAATAGAAACGTTAAATGTAAAGAAACCTTTTTCTCCGGGTACTTTTCCAGATTGTATTCTTTCTACATTCTGCCAAATATGAAACCGTGAAATTGATCATTGCGATTGCGTGCTGGACACCTCAGCTACAGCTCGATATCTGAAACCTACCTTTCTGGCCTTGATCTCAGCGATGTCGTCCATAATATCGAGCTGCAGATTGTGGGTGCTTCCGCTATTACTGGGCGGACCGGTTAGCCCGGTCGACGAATCTCGTCGGCCCTGTAATATCCTGGTGGCGCCTCCCATGGGAAATGCCGCGATGGATTCTCGACGGTTGCGCCCGAAGAGGGTGTTCGGCACCCTGGAGATAGTGACGACGGAATGTCGTCGGCCGCCCGCTTGAGGAGCCGGCGCCTGCGAAAGCGTCGCTAGGAAAGCAGCCTCCCTCGCCGACGGGCCGGAACCTTCCCCACCTCGTTCGCTCAATCGCCGTACCTGTCCACACCAATCGTCGTCGCGTGTATCATTCGAGGAGGATCCGAACGACCAACCGTGAGTAATATCAATTAACGATCCGATATTCAAATTGCGTTATCGTCCGCGAGCTCTGCGGGGAATAAGCCGATTCGCGAGGCTGAGTCTCGTTAGAAATTTCCACGTCGACAATTCAACCGTAATCTTCGAAAACTCGATTTACATTCCCACCGCGGCTGCTCGAACTTGAAACTTCGTCGCGGATTCTCTTTAAGGTGCGACGTATCGAAATGTACAGTGATATTTCTGCCAACATATTAACTTTCATGTATCATTATTATTAAAATATATAAAAGATAAATAATAAGATAGATTATAAATAAAAACCGAATAAATTATCTAAAAAATCGACAGATAAAAAACGAAACGAATAAAATATGAGAAGTAAAAAGTGCAATTAATTTTCTCGTGGGCTGAAATTTCATTAGGAAAGTGCCCGCGGTCTTCAACCATAATCCCGTCCGTCTTTTATCTTCCTCGGCAACCGCGACTATTTTAGCATACGAATAACAATTTATCTCGAACTCATCGCGTGCGCTTCTTTTTTTATCATTTCCTTCTTCGACAGCATCGCGTTGTCACGTTCGCGTTGTCGGCAACTACTGACTGACCACGAACGACATCCTCTGCACGTACCTGGGATGCGGTTATCCCGGATGTGCACTGCGGCGTCGGTAAGGAGTGCTTCCTGGCGTCCCTCCACGGCGAGAGAAGATAGGGATTCAAGGATGGTGAATCCGGATCTACGCATCGCGGTGGCGATTCCGTGCGACGACGCTCCGCTTCTTCCTCGCCAAGCGTGCTCTCTTCGACGACAATCAGCGGCTCGCCGGCGCCGCTTCCGCTGCTCAGATTCGAGCAGAAGGACTGCCTCCTCATCGCGATCTTAATGTTCTGTCGAGCGAATTTACAATTATCAAACGTCGTCTTTGTCGTTTGTCACTTTCGCCGAGCCACAAAGAGATACCGATGAAAAGTACCGGATGCGAATATATGTAACGATAAAAAGTCAAAGACAGGAATAAACCCGATTCAAGAGAACAATGGAATTCCGAATTGAAATGCCAGCCGTGGCTATCGACGTGCGAGGTATTTAAACGTGACGTAACATTCATCACGATTAACGGGACGAGCAACCCGATGCGCGGGTATTGTTTCAATATCGCGCATTGAAAATTGCGCGCGACACGGAAATTGAGTTTTATCCCAGGCAAAAGTCTCGTTTGATTCTCCACAGGGACAAACATTTATTGATGGATAAAGCGTTGTTCGGCGCATAGTCCGATCGTACATCGTCCGGTTAAGCCCGTGCGATTCGGATCACGCGCCTCAACTCGATATCGAGCGGATAACAACTTGATCATTCTCACTAACCCTTGACAAATTTATGAACCCTCGGTATGTGTCATTAATTGGATTAAAATTTACTCTACCTAAGAACGATGAGTAAAATGTGCCGATTTTCGCCTAAAAACGTGTAACGTAAGTTACACATGTAATCTTAGGCGAATTAAGGCCATTTTCCTACGAGTTTAGATGGACAAAAATCTTACAATATTCAGCGATCCAAAAAATGCACGATTACATATATAACTTAAGTTGCAATTTTTAGGCTAAAATCGGCCCATTTTATCCATCAACTATTATATATTTTTTCTAAATCATTTTATCTAAACAAAAAGATAAGTCAATTTCCTCTTTATTCTTTGGAGTATCTCTAGAAAGAATAAAAGCCATAAAACACTAATCTTCACGAAAAGATTAGAACTGCTCGAAGAGGCTACTAAAAAATTAAAGCCGGCTCCGACGAACCCTCAAGGTACACCGCGAGTTAAGCGACGGGTTAATCTTCATCAATATATTTATAGCGGATACAACACTGTCGAGCAAGGAACATCCTCTCTCGACAGTCATAATGCGGCCCATAAATTTCACAAGTTTAACGCTACTGTCAAGAATGAGTAGTAGCATTGAGGATCACGTTGCGTCGTTACACAAATATTAGCTCGGGTAAAAGTTGTCATGCCTGGGTCGCGTTGCGATAATAAAAGTTACGACCGTCCCTCTTTCTCTCGTTCGCTTCTTTCCCTGTGAAACATGCGTGCGTTGTTTCCCGCCATCGATTATTCGCAGAATCACCGTGTGCGATGCGAACGTGTGAAATATTCACAAGACGACATGAAAGGTCTTCGAAGATGAGACATTAACCCGTGCATCGGACGAGCATCCTGTCGATTCTCTTCCTCGATCCAGCCGTTCCTCGCAGCCACACCCGCGTTTTCGATCGCGAGCCGCCATCGATCGAAACGGTTTATCGCACTCCGGCCTGTCCCGTCGCCCCGGTAACGGCGATAAAACCGGAAATTAATATTCGAACACGTAGGTCTACCGGGGGGAGAGAGGGAGAGCACTGGTCGGCCGGCTGAAAATAGCGGAGAAGCCACGGGAATTCCGGTGGCGAGATCATCCGCAGGAAAGTCGCCTGCGAGACGGAAGTGGAGCGCCGGGAAAGCGAAGTAAGAGGTTTCTTATATAAAGTGACCATCGAGCGACTTAGAAGCGTCATTGTCGTCTGGTTATTCAGACGATTCGAAGTAGTATTTCGGTATCGAAGCAAGAAACTCCTCCCGTGACGAGTCATGAAGCTGCTGGCTTTCTTCGCCCTCTTCGGCGTGCTGGCGTACGCCTCGGCGATCGCGCTGCCTGACGTTTACGACGGACCGACTTATGAACTGCGTAAGTATATTTCGTTGATCCGAAATTCACTGCACAATCCTTCTCACCTTCGTTAACGCAAGTCAGCGATCATCTATCTATCGAGATTTCACTCGAGGACGATTTATACACTGAGAAAAAAACAGCAGTTGGACAATCGACAAAATCGGCGACCACCCTCATTCAACAAATTTTGTATCCACCGAACAAATTACGCATTGGCGCAACATTTACACTTTTACAATTTTAATACTTATTTCTATACTTTTGTTGTATTTTTTTAGTTATAGTTGCGCACTCCCTGTTTTTTTCTTTCTTGTTTTCTTCTTGTTTTCAAAATTCTGATAGAAAAATGCTACGGTTTTGTCTGCCATTTACGATTATTATAATTTCCTACACTACACTAAGGGTCCATTCCGTAAATAAATAAATAAATAAATATGTTGCTTTAATACAGTTGCTAAGCAAATCATATTCGTTAAATCGTATGATTTGATTGAAAAATTCGGATCTAACTTTGAATTCTCCAAAAACTGTAAATTGAGATCCGAGGATCTCACGTGAGACAAGTTTCGTATAACGACTATTAATATGTGAACCTTAGCATCTTAGGGTGAACTTAAGAAGGGTTCCGAATGCCATATCGGACCGTGAATATCGACCTTAGAGACTCCCTGCGAGGAATCTCCATGGTCGTTTCGGTGATACGCTTCTTACATACTTTACTTTTCATTTCGACGCGTCACTTCAAGATACCAGCGCAAAGGAACTTCTCGATGGAGTAATAAATACCCAGAGTATGGGCTACAGAATGGCCGCGTCACTTCGACTCCACTCTACGCTTCTGGCGCGCTCCGATAATACGCTGTCGATATCCTTTCGCGTTGTACTCCGGCGCGTCCTCCTCCGCCGAGAGCTATTTCGTTATTATTACGACGAGTTACCGCGCGTCGCTAAACCAATTGTAGCTCTCCCGAGTCGAGGAACGTTCGTATTCCCTATATTGAGAAATCCATTTAGTTGGATCAACTAAATTCTCGTGACTATGGGCAAATTTGTCGGTTATAAGAATCAAGGTTTAGTTCTCTGAACCAAAGGTTTGGTTCTTTGCAACCTCTGAAACTTCAGAGAACCTTCGGTTTAGACAACAAAACTTTGGTTATTATAACCAAAAAAATTTATGTGCCAAGTCGAACAAGAATTCAGTTGATTCAACTAAATGGGTTCTCAGTGTACGCTGAGAAAAAAAGTGTAACTATAATCGCCACGAGTGAAATAATTATAGTCGGCAAACAATTTTTTGTAGTAAGACACTACACGGAGAAATATAGTTTCGCTATTATAGCGGAACCACATTGCCGCTACTGCATATTCATAGCGACGGTAATAAAATTTGATTGACATAACATAATGAGTGAATTATTCGTAATTAGAACGGAAACAGTTTTATCGCCATGATAGAAAATATTCTGCTGAGCGAATTTGTCCTTAGGACATGTTAATTTGCCGTTAGAACGAAATAATATTTTTCAACATTTACTAATTTGTTCTTACAGCGAAACAACTTGTAGATTCAGCAAAATCATCCAGTAAATGACAATTAGCATTCTTAACAAATCGTTTTGCTAAGTCCATACAGTAACTGACAGATTTTGCTGCTACAGTATAAAGTTTGCTGTGTCAGCAAATTATTTTTTTCAGTGTACTACAACGTTATCGATGATAATTTTACATGCGCATCGCTGCTGCCATTTCTTCATCGGAATTAAAACAATAAAAGGATCTGGCTAACGCTAAAAATAATTACAAATTGTAGCAAGATCAACAATTTTTTCTCTCCATGTACGAACGCTTTGCTGTCCGTCACGCGGCATGGAATATCGGTGGAATGTAACAATTTCGCGCTCCCGTACGTCGTGATATTCGTCCTTGTGAAAAATTCGGCCCGATTTTCCGACCCTCCACGACGGTAAACCAGCGAACCACCTTCCACAATAGAGGTAATGTCGAAACATTGGCGAAGGACTATACTCTCCAAATTTTCTCGAGAGAAATTCCATTTAAAAAGTGGAGCGCCACCCGGTCACTCGAATCCAAGTGACTTTTCACTCATACGGAATGAATTCTCCACTCGGAATCATCGAGTAAATATTTTCGTCCGAAATAGAAGAGTGAATTTGCATGTGCAGAAGACTCCATTAATGCAGGAAATGGAACTGCATTAATGGAGTCTCCTGTACTCCGCAACCACTGGAGCAAATTTATTCTAGTCGATTGCAACATTCACTCGTAAGGTTTAAGAATCTATTCTATGCGATTTGAGTGAAATGTTCACTCTCGTGTGTGATTTCGAGTGACGGTCCTCACTATCACTTCGAGTGAATTTTCACTTGTTTTCGGTCCATTCCACGAAATTTGGAGAGCAATTGATTTCAATTTATCCGCTTTTATTCCGATCGTTCCGTCTATCTAATTTTCTAATTCGAGTAAGATTTCATCCCGAGAGATTTAGAGAGTGGACGACGAAAATGTCGTTAAGAGGATCGTGGAGTCGTCCTGAATAAGCGAATGCGAATGCTAACAAATTTGCGGTAAAACGAAACTCCAAGATTCTCTTGACGCCGTGTGAATAAAAAAGAACACTTGGAAGTCTGCACTGAAAGAAACCTTGCTTAAATTATAGTCACTTTCGGGCTCAATTATATCTTCTTCCCGTCTTAACTCAAAAGATATTAGCAGCAAACGCATATAAGATTATTATCACTGACATTACAGCGACGCTTCTAGAGAAACGATTCTCCTGACTGTCAAACTCACTTGTGCGCGATTATAGTTACAAGTAACATATTTTCTCTGCGTGAGATTTCCCTCTTTCCTTTATTCATGAGAATGACCGAACGGACCCCGCAAAACGGTCGAATTCGGCACGAAAATCGAACCGCACGACTCCCCTACGTTTCACACGAATGCTTCGTGGACAATAACGGAGAAATGTTGCGTTTTGCTTCCAGAACCCATCGATGGATCCGACACGTCGTCGGACATTGGCTCCACCCGAATGCGTCGGCTGACCTGCGACGTGTTTTCCTTCCAGTCTCAGTGGGTATCCCCCAACCATAGTGCCTGCGCGATAAAGTGCGTGTTTCAAGGTCGAAAGGGCGGTACTTGCCAGAACGGTGTCTGCGTCTGCAGACGCTAAGCTCGTCGTCGACTTCCCGGTACGTCTCTTCGGCCACCGTCATCGTACACTCCGGATCCACGCACTCACGCCGTTCGCTTCCGTGGCACCGACTACGTCGCTCGCCGTAGCCGCTGCGTCGTCCTTAAGATTAATCATCGCGATCGATCGCTGACCTGCGCTCGAAACGGGTGTCTTTGTCTTCCTCGCCGTTTCTCTGTCCCTCGGTGTGCGTGTGCGTACGAGCGCGAGTCTGTGTAAACTTGACAAAATCGATATCGCCGTCTCGTCGATGAAAATTGTTTGATCGTCGTCTTCGCCGGTCTGTCATTTGAATAATAGCTAAGCTTTTTGCGTTGATGCGATGCTAACGAAAATTGATTACCGGCGGTTATTAACGAGAACAGCCGGTTGATCGTTTAACCTAATGGAACGAGTGACAATGTCGAAGCACAATATCGGTTACGGCGAGTGTATGAGAAAAAGATTAGAGAACATTAGAGATCATGAGACTAAGACCGAACGTAGTCCCGCGGAAAGTGTCTCGACGTACTCATGTAGCGTTTTATGCACCATCATTCCGAACAATACCAAAAATTGGTCACTCAGCGATAGTACCCACTTTTACATACACACACGCACTGTTTTTATTATACATTTACTTTTTTACTGTACATTTATTTATACCACTGAATATAATGTAAGTTTGTGCAAATTGCTCGTGTGTTCCACCGAGTCTGCTCAACTTACGCAAACTTGTCCCCTCACAGAGTATAATTAGCAATAAAAAAAAAGTGTGAATATATAATCAGAAAGTATGGTTCGATTTTTTATGTCTTTCCCGACGGCAAATCGGTAAATTATTTTCCTCTTCGATAAAGGTGATTCGCTTCGAATGCTGCTAGAACATTGGCGAAGGATTATGGAAAACATAATGAAGTCTTTAGTACCATAAAATGGTGCACAAAAACGCGTCAGGTTTTACAAAGTTTATAAAGCTTATAAATTAAATAGACCATATTTGACTCATTAAAGGCCGTAATTATTTCGCAGACTTTTGTAATTAAAGTTTGCGCTCTCTAGCGCGGTCTGTTTATTTTCTCAGAAGTCTCAGTTTCTCAGGACTGTCAGAACTGTTTTTATCGAAGATATAGATGTCATTAAAAAAAAAAAAATTAGCTGGAGGGAAAACATAAAAATAAAAATTGTATATTTCTCGAGTGATTTTATCCAAGAAAAGGAAAACGTCTCGTAAACGAAACACTGCTCGCTGAAAAGTTAAAGCCAAATTTTATTCGACAATCGAACCGATCTTCTTGACTGACCCAACACCCACGACAAACGGCTGATCTATTATATCATAGCAAAACATAAGTGATTCAACCGAAAAAATTCTATCAATTGCGATTGTCAATATCGACCGTGCTTCTTAGCAGATAGCAAATTCACCCGAAACGTTTTTCGACATGTCTTCGCGATTTTTACGCTACAACCTCGCGAAATGTATTGGATTGTACAAATAATTTCAGATTTTCTATCGGAAAATCTATCAGAAAAGGTCCCAAATAACGTATTACACTATCCAATATACCGCACGCGAATTGACCGCTCTACACAGTAAAAAACATTTTGTACTTATTTTGTACTTATGTCAAAAAATACGTCCTTGTTATCATTTTTTATTAAATTTTTAACATACATAAAAATTTTTAACATATATATCAATGTATTAATTTAATATATTTTGTTCAAGTTATCTCAGTATATATTTGATGTTGAATCGATATTTAACATGTTTAAATATTAAAATAACACAATAAGTATGTCGAAATAACACCTTTTTCATGCACCTCAGTGTCGATTAACATATGGATATTAATTTTGTGTAATTAATTCTGTTAATTTTAGTAAAGTAGCGCAAAAATTTATGTGGACCGTTCGGAACATATAAAATATGTTAGACTTGATATGAAATTTTTTACCGTGCACCTTGCCATCGATATCGACATTACTGGGATGATTTATTCGCGACGGCGATTAAGAACCGGCCGGTCGGTCGGAACGCGGCATTTCGCGATATTGCTAATGGACGACTGACCTTTGCCCAGTTTCATTCGCGATCCGTTCCCGGTGCGAGAGCAACATGTGGGTCTAACCGATAGTTCCACACTGACGGGTCCAATCGCTAACGCAATATCTTCGAGCACACTGTGTATATTGATTCGTGCATCCACGAGCATGCATGTATGCGCCGCGAAGCTCGGATCGCCGCGATGAACTCTCTCTCAGCCTGTCAGATCCCAGGAGACGAGATTTCAATCGTGCGAGTTCAGCAATGTATGCGCCGAATAATTGAACGCGAACCCCTCTCTCTCTCTCTCTCTACTTTTCTCTATCTATATATCTCTATCTATCTATCTATCTATTTCCATCTATCCCTCTTTCCGATCAGATCCTCGTTCGACGTGGTGAAACGTGTCTGGAACTTTAATTTGGGGGTTTCGTCGTAGATCCCCCGACACGTCGCCACCGTCGTCGACATCATCACCGTTGAGATGTTCCTTAGACGCGTCTTCAATGTTCCACCCTTCCTCTCTTCTCCTCTCCTCATGCTCTAGAATCACGCGTGAACTTCGTGTTCACGGTAACGCTGCGGCGAAGCACTTCGTTTATCGTTCCCGATCACGCGCGTATTAAAATTCCTCATTCCGCGAGAACTTGGATAAAACTAATATTCCTGATGGCGCGCAGCAGAATGCGCTCTCATCAAAGGATATTAGAGGGATCGGGCGGATTTAAGATGAGATCGGATTAAACTAACGCTCTGACGGGAGAGCGACGGGAGAGTTTCTGTGCACAGTATTTCTTCCGTTCTCTTTCTTTGTGCGCGCCGGCAAATTTATCAGCAACGCCGTCGTCGTGTGTAGTGTAAGTGTCCCTGACCAGCATCGAGAAAGCTGCTGCTGAAAAGCTCAGGACGAACGACGAGGCCATGATAAAAGTTTCAACCGACGGGGAGCCCCGACGCGGTATAATTGAATGTAGTTTGGGTTTGGCTTTCGTGCAAAGAGAATCCGTTGCGAGAAGAAAAAAGAGAAAATTATCCGCCCGGAAATGCTTTGCCGCGACTTTACACGCAATTTTACACGCGAGAGGAGATATAAAATCCGCGCGCGGTTCTGTCGCGAATTTTCCGAGTTGAAATTTTGATCCTGCGTTAAACCTTTAACTCTACGACACAGTAACAGCTACGTAGTTTCAACTCTAGTAATATAATTTATTCTTATTTATTGATCGTGTTGATGTCTTAAATTTTCGCTCTTTTAAATGAGCTGTTCAATAGAGCACTGAAATTAAATCTGCAGAATCAAAGGATTATTTATTTATTTATTTATGATTTATAAACGGAGAACACGCTTTGATAACATAGAAAGTACAAAACAAAACACTCGTGGAGATAAGAACACTCACACGGAACATCAATCCAGATCAGCAAAACGTCATTTTAAAAGAGAAGTTAACAAGTGTCAGTGTTGTCAAAGTAGGTTTCTATTACCTTATAGACTATCTAAATTAAGCACAAACTTAATTTAGATAACCTATAAACCATCTAAATTGGGTACAAACTATCCTTAAGAGCGTCAAAGTAGCATCTAAATTTCGACACTGGGTAGTCCGGGATTCGTACCTTTGTCGGTACACCGAGAGAACAAAAACTGCTTAGGTCACTTTGAGGAAATTATATAGTAATTTTCGATACTAACCGTACGTTATCCTGACAAAAAAGTGGCGATGTGCGCATAAGATGATTATCATTGACATTATTAGTAGCGCTTTCATCACAAAAATGATTTTCCCGGCTATAATTATCTCAGCGCACCATTATAGTTGCGAGCCTCCAACATCCTTTTTCTCTGCACAGTCGTATATTTTGCAGCGTCAACCATATTTCTTTTGCCGCTCTTAACATAAAGTAGCAGCAAAAATATATACGTATAAGTAGTATCGCTGACATTCTGGTAGCATTTACCGTAAAAGTAGCTTTCCCGTCTGAAATATTTCACTTGTGCGATTACACGGCCGCGAATATCAAGCATTCTCTTGTTAGTATCTACATTGAAAACGTCAGAATTTCACGGCGATAGAAAGCCCGGCTGTTTCATTCGAGGGGGATGTATAAAGCCCCGGGTAGAAGTTCGAGTTCGAAGGATCGCTCTGTGGATCGGAATGCCTCGCTTAATTCGTTTCGTTTCGCGCTGATTCGACGGCGGGATGTTTCAGCCGACGCGTCGGTTCTCTCGACGTTTCCAAGTTCGCGACTTCACTTCGGGAAAGAGCACGGCTCGGTGTCGCTCAGGGCGACTTTGAGTTCCCGTATCTTTACGCTTCTACGACGTTCAAAGTTGTCGCGCTGAAGCCGGCGAATGGAACGCTATTCGTCGACCGGGAGTGGAACAAAGCAGTTGTTCTCGAGCACTATTGTTCGCATGGCGTCGACGTTACAACGACGACGACGACGGTGGCGGTGATGATGAAGGTAGAAACGCCTAGAAACTGTCGCGATGATGTTGACTGAGGGGGACGTTTTCTTACACCAAATAACGGACATCGATCTCGCGCGTAAACGCCGTGCGATATCGCGAGCGGTTTTGCGTCAGCAGCCGATACGAGACTTGCGCAGTAAAAAATTGTGCGTGTTAAATCTAACATTTCACACGTGAAACATATTTCACACGTCTCAAACGGTACACACAAATTTTTGTGCTAATTTGACACAAGGGTGAATATATTGTAAAGTAACATAAATATTGTATCAAAAATTAACACAAAATTAATATCTACAACACGTTAATCGACACTGAAGTACAAAATGTGTCATTTTAATACTTACAGATAACATGTCATTAAAGTTCAATCAAAGTATCTATTATCCATTACTTTCCACCATCTTTCCGATATTTATTTGATAAATCCGCGTCTGTAAGATGACTGATCTCCGATAAAAACTTTGACGATTCTTTGCCCCGAAATTATGAATTATCCCATCAATTATAAATGCGAGCCCACTGACATTCTCTTGGAGGGAATACCGACTCCAGGCGTCCGGCGAGTCCGCCATTAAAACGAAGTCGCGAGTTGCGACATACTACGCGCAGGGAGATTATCGAGAGAGAACTCGCGGGTAAAGGAGAGAAAAAGGAACGAAAGCTGCGAGAGAAAGAAAAAAGCCCGTGCGATGCCAACGACGACGCATCAATCGGCTCGGCGCGGCTCGCGCTCGCTCCGAATAGATTTACTTTGAGGCGGTCTCGCGTAACGAGCTCCGCTCTCTGCAAACTACTCTCTCCTACTACTACGTGGGGGTTAAATTTAAGTCAATTCGCATGAGGGTAAGAGTTTATGGAGCGAGAGCCAATTACACATTTGCGTGATGTCGCAAAGAGGATTCAATAACGAGCAAAACGGAAAAGAGGAAAGTCAGCATTCCCGTTTCGCGCGTTCCGACAAATCGCATTGTTCATTTCTCCCTCTCTCTCTCTCTCTCTCTGTCGTCCATCGTGTATCCATCGGGCTCAGCGTGCCGGAAATTTCAGCATTGGCGATCTTAAACGAGATTCGGCGGTGGGACAAGGCGCGATGAACCGGCGAGAAAGACAGACGGGTCGCGAGTTCACCTTTAGTAACCTTATCGATCGATGGGATTGTACGAGCTCAGCTTTTGAGAACCACCTCCAGTGTCTTTGCGCGGAGTCGCACCACGAAATGAGAGGTGAGATGATCGCCCCGGGGCGCAGAGAAAAGGGATCATCGCCGGCGGCATCGGCTTCGCTTCGCGACGCGACTCGACGGTGTCAGAAGCGACGGGAGATAGGGTGGATGAGCGCGAAAGGGTGAAGGCCAGAGCGAGGGTCCCGGCGACGACGAGGACGACGTTGCAGAGGCGCGCGGGATGCAACAGTAGCAGCAGCACGACACGCGCCGCCCTTCGTCGCCCTACGTCACACACGAGTATACACGGTATTTGACGTCACGTTTTATTCCGTGAACGCGATCGACGCGACCGCCGTCCACGATCTATAAATGACAACCCGCTAATGTTTCGCGGTACGCGGCGTATGAAAACCCATCGCGCAGCGGTGGTTTAATGGCGCCGTTACAGCTGATTACAGCGGCCAAATAGTCGCGAGCGAGCGGACAAGCGATCGCCCTCGTTACGACGAGAGAGAGAGAGAGAGAAAATCCTGCGGTTATCGGTTGTTATCGGCATCGCACCGACATCGCGTCGATATCACGTCGATATCGTTTCTCGACGCACCGCTGGATCACGGATGCCTTGTTTCGGTATTAACGCGCTTATTGCCACGGGGCTTACCGATGACCGACGCTAATATTGCCGCGTCTCGTTGATTTATTCACAAAACGTAACCAGTCGCGTGTAATGAATTAAATATGCGGCCGACAGGGAAATAAAGCGCGAGCTAACGAATATGCGAATCGCACTTGTTTACCGTGCGTCTGGTAATCCAAGCTTTCACTGAGCGTTCACAAATCACACTCATCAGGATTCTCACGGAGATCAGCGTAGAGATGAACGTGTCAACCCTTTATGCGGCAAGCGAAATTTTACTGTTTGTACGCCAAACGGCAGGGAAATAAAAATAGTTCGATTTCGATGAAAGTCAATCTCGAGGGTTTCTTGCTCGCTAATTTTCACCAATTTCGAGTTCAGATTCGTGATAAGCGACCTCGAATATTCCCGAGTATACCAAGTTTTATCCAAATCAGGTTACTTATTGCATTTCGGTCCGCTATATTGGATCTGACATTTGGAATTTCTGTATTTTGAGTTCAGATTCGCGATCAGTGGCTTGAAAAATAATATATCATTGGTAGTCAATATTGTATACTTCTAAATATATTTTTCGCCTCGCCCGCCATGACGAGCTTGCCGTTTTGGATCAAGTAAATGTTGCCCGTCATATGGCTTGCCGTGTAAAGGATTAAATCTGGCCTTGTCTGATTACAATCCGCACAGGAAAGTTCTCGGGAACTAATTGGGATCCAGTCCGATTTCCCAAAACAATGATGGATGGTAGTTGGGAAATCAACACAAGTCTGGTTAATCCTCCAATGGTAAGGTGGGGTCAGATTGACTCCAAGGCTTCGTTTATTTTATAGCGTGCATGCGTTGTTTCTCTTCTTAAGAAACGTTTCATGTTATTATTTACTTCTTTTATCCATTTTGCATACTGAGAAATGAACAAAACGGAGCATGCGGTCAGATAAAACTTCTTTTCCCAGATACATTGACAATTCACAAAACAATTATTAGAGAGTTAAAAGTGTAATATTTTAAACATATAATTCTAATTCACTCTGTATGAAACGCATTAAGTAGCTACACTTTATAAGAATATACGCACACACACACGCACACACACGTACGCGACGCGCACGTTAAGCTTAGCGACATTAAAGGAAAATGGCGTTTAACTTATGCTCGAATGGGTAGTTTGAACCACATATTAAGAAAAAGAAGCAGAAGAAACAGTAACATTACAAATATTACTCCGTTTATTAATTTCCTAATTTGATATTCAACCAAATTGACGCTCGACTTTAGCGCAGCAAATACCAATCAGCATCACGAAAAGAAGTTTCATTTTATATTTGGGATAAGAATGGGATTCCCCTCTAATTAGTATCGTAGTGGGATAACCTATTTTGAGATAATTTGGAGTATTTTAATCAGAATCTATACTGTACACGGGAAAATCTAGGAAATTTTCTATGCGAGAAGTTTCGGTTTATGAATGTCACGTACGTGGTCGTTTGGGAATTGGAAGGGCATATTTGAAATTTGCTAGTACGAGTACAGAGTATGATTCCACTCTCTAAATGTCTCGAAGTGAAATCTCACTCGAATTAGAGAGAGTTAGACGGACAGAATGGTCGGGATAAGAGCTCTTTAGTGAAAATCAATTGCTCCCTAAATTACTCGGAATGGAATCTCATCGGTCACAAGCGAAAACATTGTCACTCGTAATCACAGGGACGAATGTTTAAGCGAAATCCCGAGAGAGTGGATTCTTTTGATCGAGCGTATGTTTCAATTGATTCAATCGATTCGGACTAAATTTGTTCCTGTTATTAGGTGTGGAGTACATGAAAACTCACTCTTCAAAATTTCGGAAAATTTGAAAATGTACACTCGACGATACGGGACGGAGAGATAAAACTCACCTCTGTATGAGCGAAAAGTTACTCGAATTCGAGCGTCATTCGTACGCTGTCGCTTCACTTCTCGAGTGGGATATTGCTCGAAGAAATATCGTGGGAATCTCTCCGCTCGAGTCCGATCTGTGAATAGAAGACTGCCTATTCGAACGCAAATTTTCGAGAATAGTTCACATCATTCGGCCTCATCGTCTACTGAAAATCGTGGGGCTGAAAATTGTCCGTTTGTTCGTTCATTCGTTCGTCGCCAGCGCGGAACAACACGCCAGCGAAATAATTACATTCTCCGCGGGCGGGAACAAGAGAAATTCGAATTGAAATTCCTCTCGTTTTCTCGACAGTGCGGCGTGAAACGGTCCACAACACGCTTCCGTGGAGCAATGACGGAATAGCTATTAAAGACAATTCATTCAGCCTTCTTTCCTTCCTTCCTTCCAACCAGCGCGGCGTCGTTCCTTTCATCTCGTTAAACTCCCATTCTTTCCACAATGTGCGACGACCTCTCTCTCTCTCTCTCTCTCTCTGCACTTGACAGACATTTAGCGCTGAGTAATTAAGCGAAAAACGTGTCCTCGCCGCGACGTTGCGCAAGTGAGGCGCCTGCATCACCATTTGCGAGTGCCCATCGAGCGAGAAAGGAGAAAGAGGGAGAATAAAAGAGAGAAAAAGAGAAAGAGAGAGAGAGAGAGAGAAAACGATGGGTGCATGTCCCGGTAACGGTGGACGAGATAACTTTTCTCCCTCTTCTCTCACTGTCTCTTTCTCTCTCTTTCTCACTTCCCCGCGACTAATAAATCTCCACGGTCGGATCTTTCACGGGAATTAATCTCACCGAAGTTCCTCCGGGATCAAGTAGGTGAGGTATCTCGCTCTCCACCCACTGCGCACCGATAACGAGTCGCTTCCATTCTCTTATCGCGAATAAGGCTCGAGAATAACTCGCCTTCGAGAGCTTCATGAGGTCCCGCCTCCCCCCCTCTCCACCTTATCCGGAACAATGAGAACTCATCGAATTCGAATCGGAGAATGTGTCTCTCTCTTTCCTGGGTACGCGCACTGTGGCGTGCGGGGAGCATCAAAGCGTAAGGGTACGCGGCCACGGGACTTAATTAAATACTCGGGATGCCGGCTCGCAATGCGAATATTCCTCCCGGCCGTCGCGTCGTCCCGGCCGACGTGCTTAAGTCCCCCTTTTTTTTCGGAGAGAAACCGTCCTCTACCCGAGAGGGATTTGCGACGTAAACGAACGGTATGATTTTACTCTGTCGCGCGACCGTCGCCGCCGCCGTCGGCGCTGGTACGCGAATTCACGATGTTCGTTTTATCTCACGCGTGAGAATACGCACGGTCGAAGAATCGCGATTAAGCGGGCTGAATAAGGGCTGAATAAAGCAGGACGAAGATTTATATCCGAAGATTATACGCGCGCGACGTCCTGTTGCGGTAACATTTATTTCTCTTTCTCCCTCTATCTCTCCTTTTTCTCCGTCTCTTTTTATCCCTCTTTCTTTCTCTCTCTCTCTCTCTCTCTCTCTAAATGCCACATCTCGCGCATTCGGCATTTCGGCGCGTGTATGCGCGGAATCGCAATAAATTGTCGCTCATTTCTCCCGAATGTTTGCACATTCAGTGGGCGAGAATTCGCGCGTTTTTAACGTCAGTTAACCGCGGAATATAATTTGTTCATTAAGCGAATTACAAATGTTGTTACAGAGGGTCATTTAACAAACATGACATGTTTTTTTCGTCGCGAGCCTCCATCGTCGATATGCATTCGTGCGTTATCGCGGCGAGATATCTGTTTTGCGCGAACTGCGAATTGACCCGCGAACTTTGCACCGTTTACCTTTTCACCGTGTCAGGTGCTTCGTCGAAAGATAAACTCTCTTCCTCTCTCTCTCTGTCTTTGTTATCACTCGAAATGTTAACGGGTAATCCCCTTCGCATACGCGTAATGTAGGCGCCGCGCGAGATTACCATCAAGCTGAGCGGTTACCATTGCGCGCGCATTTAGTTTAGTCCCCAAACATTGTACAAATGTACAAACGCCTCGTTAATCCGCGCTCGGAACTCGCCGCGGAAGAGGCGAACCAGCCTCGAGGTCGGTCAGCAGCCCTCCTGCTCGTCCGACTGTGAGATCGAGAGAGCTTGCGCTTAAATCAACTCTCGCGCGTAATTCCACCGTGACGACTCGGCGGCCTCCATATGGTAATCAATCGGATTTAATCAGCGCGCAATTAGGCGCTAATTAACGCACGCGAGGCAGGCACGCCGCGCGAGTCCAGCTGACAGCGTGACGCTCGCGCGATGTGCGCGACGCAGCCTCGGAAGTTTCGGGGACTCGCGGCAAGATTCGCGGGACATTCGAAAGCCACAGGTGATCGGGGACGAAGCGTGCGTCCGTCCGTCCGCTCGTCGGTAAACAGCGCGACCCGAAGCGGAGCAAACAACGGGATCACACTTACCGGGGCTCGTTGTCGGCGGCACGACGACGCGTTGATCCCTCGGTTTGTTAACGCGGCCGCATCCGCGGCCCGACTGCCGCCGGCGGTCCGCTGACGATCCGCTGGCTGGTCCGATCGCACACACCACCTTCGACGCGGCCGATCGGTTGTTCCCGGTGTAACGACCTTCCGCCCGTTGCACCTCTCTGCGCGCCAGGGTGAAAGCGCCAGGTGTTCTTACATGCTCGACCGTCCGAGCTTAGCCGCGGCGGCCGATGCTACGAGATCGCCGATCGATCGTCCCGGTATCGAGGATGTGCCGACGCGTCTCCGCGGCGGGGTGAGAAGGAGCGAATGACGACGACGACGAGCGGGGGTTCCTGTCGCGACGGTGGTCAGAGCGGCACTACGAGCCTCGAGAACGACCCGGCGCCCCTCTCGCCATCGACCCGGTTGCGCCCGACCAATCCACGCGTGCACCTTCCTCTCGTTTAAGTACATTCCGCTGGATCCGGAGGGTGGCCCGACTCGTCAAGGGGTGGCGGACTGCGGATGGCAGAAGCTCGACGGGGGTGGCGGCGGCGGTGGTAACGACGGCGGAGGCGGCGGCGGTGGCGACGGCGGCGGAGAGAGACCGTTTCACGTGTTGCTTCGGTGTAAACACTGACACCTCGTAGCATAATTTAACGACGTCAGCCGGCTGGGACGTTTATCCGTGGAAAGTTGATTGCACGGCCGACGCGACCAGACGACAAAGCCGTCCCCCTTCGTTCCCCGGAACGGTCGTCCGTTAATGCGCCTGCAATGAGATACGTGTTTTAATGCGTTTCGAAGAATTATGTGTGCAGTTGAGGTGAAGTGGGGGTGAGAGGGGGAGTTCTCTTCACTCAGGGCTTTCACTTCAGTCTCTCTCTCCTCGAGGGAGAGCGACGCGAAAATGTGACTCGAGCGGAAGTTCTTATGCTCGCAGCGTGTGTCGTCTCGGGACGCGACATCGAGCGCCGGTCGCGTTGTGTTCTTTTTTTTTTTTCCGAGGAGGAAGTTCTCGCGAGATCCCGCCCGGCATCGGGAAAATTAATCACCGAGTGACGGGAGTGCGATCGATCCAGCCAGGAAATATCCAACGGGGTGCACCGAATTCTGCATGTTTCATTTAACGTAGTACAAACGACGAGCGCTCGTTGCTGCAATACAAACAACGTCGGTTGAAGCCGAGCACTTCACACGATTGTTAGGTCGTCGTAGTTGCGCCAAGTGAGACTAATTCAACATGACCACAGTAGCCGGAGAAATACCAAAGCGCTATCTCATCGGGCGCACACGTGGCGACTGTTACGAACTCCGATAAATTCTCCCTCGCGAGTTGAATTTACACGGTGAAAAATTTCGCGTCCGAATATCCAAAAATTTTGTCTCGTGTTACCAACTTTTGATTATCATTTCAATGTAAAATTAACATACGGCTTATTACGTACGTAATTTACCGTGATGCTTTCGTGCATTATATTTACGTCAATTCAGTAACTTAATATTTTTGATGGATCATTTTAAAATGAAATATTATTTCGAGTTCTTTCAACACAATTGCTCAGTTAATTGGACATATTGCGTTTGTTATCTCAATATTTTGTATTAAATCGATATTCAACATGTATAAATGTTAGGATGACTTATTTTATATTTCAGTGTTAATTAAAATAACATTAATTTTACTGAGTATTATTGGTGACTTATGTTATATATTATAAAAATTACAGAAAAGTTGTGTTAATTTTATCCGTAATAATAGTAATCTTAAAATTTAGGCAATACGAAATACACGTGTGGCTAGAGCATAGCAGTGGTGTAATATGTACGACAGAGGACTCAAGATCCAAAATTTCCGAATTCGAGTCTCACCAGTGATAAGCATATTTTTTAAACACGATATTAATTGGATCAAATGGCACATAATTGAGAAGATTTCAAACGTAGTCATTGACGATATCTTAAAAGCGCGATTCAAAAAATAATAAATACATTTTTTTTAGCATGAAACGTTTGTTACATCTGACATTATAAATATGTCAATTTAACACAAAATTCTTCGCTACATAAGTCGAAATGAATTTTAAAATAAGCTTTGACACAGGAAATAATTAAAATGATTAAGATCAAATATTACCGTTACGAATAATTTAACTCAAAATAATTAATACCATGTGTTGGAAGAAAATGTGTTAGCGTTAAATCATCAATCATTTTCAATTTGTGAGCAAGTAACACGCGACGAATGAATTATTTCGATTTAAAATTTAAAGCGAACTTTCCGGGACATGTGAAAAATGTAAAAATTAACATTTTATCTTTTATCGCGTAACAATCAGCACCGTGTGTGCCCGTGTGTGAACACGTTCAGAAGTCATCGCTAAGTCGCTGCGAAATGAATTCTGAAAATAACCAAGTGTATTGAGTCACTTCCATCCGACAGCGGCGCAGGTGAGACGCGCCCGAGAAATCCGTAATCGTTATACGAAAGCAAGTGAAAGAGGAAAAGAAAAGTACGAAGGACGCATGTACGAATCGGGACGGAAAGGCGTCGATATCATTTTCTCCGAGAAACACCGAGCGCACGGCTACGAGAGGGCGGTTCTCGGCTAAAATGATCGAAAACGTTCGCGGAGATCGTCGTAAAAACGCGGTCCGGGTGGACAAAAGCTCGCCATTTATTTACACGATTCTCCGCGGAACGACTCGACGCGTGCTTTTTATCGCGGTCATAGAATTCCCCGCGCGATGTTTATTGCTGGCGACGTGGCCGGCGACGATCGAAACTTGAGGCGATTGTCGAGCGACAACACAACGGCCGCACAATCGGCTGCGCAACCGACGATGGAAGTAGGAAAGAGGCGGCGCGTCCAACGACGAAGTCGGACGGAAAGAGAGAGAGCGTGCGCTTGAGAGGGGAACGGTAATATCGCGTTAGGTAGATTTGCGAGGGCTTAAGCCGTATTAAAGCGAGTTTGAAATGCCCGGCTGCGAGCCGCAGTCGTTTATTGCATCTTGTCGCGATTAATAGTAACGCGCATTATATACGGGATGACGGATGTCAACGGCTTTACTGTGAAGGAGGCTTATATGATGCTACGGTATTACGTGTGCCACTAAAGTCACACGTGAACGCGAGGCTTATTAAAGCGAGAGAGGGTGTCGTTTTCGAGTGTGTTGTAATTATCGTGACATGGGTCGGTATTCACAGGCCGATCTTATATTCGGGATCGTCTTAAGTTCGCCTCGGGAAGTGAAGCTTAACTCGTGACGCCATTACCGTTATAAAAGTCGTTTCCTCTCAGCAACGACCCGATGTAACGGCGGTATTTCTTTTTTTTATTGGACGCTAATGATAACGCAATTACATTTCCGACCCACGGTAATAAATATAATCGTTAATTCGCGAATGTTGGGAAATACGTATAGAGAAAGTGCGGGTAATACGGAATGGTCGGCTAACATGGAATACCATGATTTCTCTAGCCTGTTAAGTGTCGCAATATAACGGATAGCGGTGGAATTATTAGCTGCTCGATTTCTAACTTAATCTATGAAAGTGGCAGTCCAATACAAGTATACAAGATATAGCTTTAATGTAGTCTATTCTGCAAGTGTCATGTGACGTACATTTTCATTATATACGATAAAAAGGTAAAAACGGCGACGTCGGGTATTACGGAATAATCCATATTACCCGTCGCTTTTTGTAAATATCGTATATTTTATATTCTATTGTTTCTTTCTTTCAGGATGCCAAAGAAGCATGTAGCTGACGTCGTTAAAAAATGTAAATAGTGGAATGGAACTAATATAATGCTACAAACATTTATAAGATATTGTAACATTATTATAACACAGAAAGTATAAAAATATAAATTTACAATAAATGATAATATAATAAATATATAACATAGTAATTATTATAGACTATTTAATCATTAATATTCGTCGAAATACGAGAAAAGTTATTTTTCTGCAAGGTAAATGAGACATTATGTTTTACACGACCTATTCCACGTATTAATCTTTCAAAATCTACCTTTAAAAAAGTTGATACATTAAACTTACTATAAAAGGATATAAGAAATCCGTTAGGAAGGTGTTATAAAAAACACTTGGCATTACAACTCAGTGAAAGCTAATTTCAATTATTTTTAAGTTTTCGATTTATCTCGAAAAATATATATCTTAGAGTATTCCATAATACCTGCACTTCCTCTGTCGGAATCTGTAACGGCTCGTTACTCCTTAATAACGAAATACCTTTCAATATGAGTAACGATAAAGAGTTACTTTGGAAGAAGTAGCTCTGCCAACCGTGCTTTCAGGTTCGACTTAGGACGTCGTAAAGATCATTTCATTGGCGACATCGTGAGATGAATTCACGACGGATGCAAGATCGGACCGTGAATACACCGGCCATTGAATCGCGAGACGATCCGAAATAGTGACGATCGCGATTCGCTTCTCTCGTTTCGTCCTTTCATCTTTTCAAGCGCGACGAAGTATCGTCGCGTTCGCGCGTAAGCACGTACGCGCGCTACCCCGGGTATTTCCTTTCGATTTAATAAATAACAAGGTGAAACGCGCGACGCGGACCGTCGGTGTCGTAAACAATTTTCGCCCACTGCGAGAGTTACGTTCGCTGCGAGACGACTCGTAAAATGATATTAGAGTTACAAACTTATCGTCCGACATTTCTCTTCGGTGCTTTTTTTCCACGTAGCATGAAACCGAGTCTGCCTCTTCTTCTTCTTCTTCTTCTTTCGTCGGGGAAAGTTATGGGTCTTTCTGTGCGATTCGTCTCGGTCAGTTCTCGCCGGGATATATCAAAACATAACTGCGAATGCGATCTGCCGACCAAACACCGAGAAAAGATTCATGTGAATCTGTCCTCTCTTTCTCTCTTCGTATGACTTTTTTTTTCCTTTGGCTCCTCTGTGTGATTATTTCATAACCACTTAACAATATTAATATTGTCGTTCGCATCGTTACGCGGATATATCACGTAACAGCTGCGCAACGATAGAGATATTGATTACATTTATGCGGCAACGTTAATCCGGTTCGATAACAACCACAGTTAGCGAACACTTGCTTCCGACTGGTATATTCTTTTAGATCTAAAAATATATATTACAATTATAATTGATTATTTATAAATGCAAAAGCTCACTAACTACAGTTATTATTAAATTAGATTAACGTTACCGTAGAACGAGGTTCGTTATCGTTATAAATTACGGAATAACAGAAATAACAGGAATAACAGAATAAGAGCGACTTTCACCGGTCACTGATCAAGCTAATCGACGAATAACCAGCAGAATTATCGACACCATCAAGTTCCAGCTGCGTAATTTGTCGACAATAACCGAAAAATTCACGTTCTTTTATTTTAACGGCAGATGATAAGCGATGCTTGACTGATAACGCTTTTAAATCGTCGATTGGATTAATCAGAGTTTGATGAAAAATGTCACTTCAAGCACGTATGTTCATGTGGAGAGAGTCTTTCGAAGTCGAGAGTACGTAAACGAGAAGAATATCACGTTTGCGCCACCAGTGTTTATTTAGAGGACTCTCTTTACAGACCACCTCGTATTTCTTGTACAATTATTTTTGGACACAGAAAAAAATGTTATTGCTATCGTCGCACATATATGACATTGATAACAAAAAAAAGTTAAAATAAAAAAGTTAAGATAAAAAAAAAGTTAAATTCCTCATGTCGTAATATATAACCGAAATAATTTCATAAAAACGTAAAGAAACGAAGAGGGATAAAATAGCTGCGCAGCGATACTCAACGGTAACGATATTGTCGTTAAAAAGGGATACAGAGTAAGTTTGCTGTTGGACAATCTGAATCAAAATTTGATTTTGACTTTAAAGCTCTTTTAAGTCTGTGCCTAGTTAGACGACCTATAGACTAATAAAAATTCATTCTGACGACACGCTTTTTAACTTCTCTCTCGAACTATTAATTCTGTAGATTGAATTTTAATGCTGCAACAATCTATTCTGACGCTAAAACAACGAAAACGGAAACTTAAGATATCATCAGGATCAAAGTAAGAGTTATATTACATTACTAGAATTAAAAATGAACCAATTTCGTTATCTTAGCTCCTACTATGTCGTGGAATTAGAGACTTAAATTATAGAACCAAAGTTTCGAATCGGGAAATTTCGTCATCGGTGTTCGAGTGTGCCTCGTTTTCGTTGCACGTGTCCGATCGCGATACATGACGGTGCGCCAGTAGGATTACGCTCTCGTGCCAAATCCGTTTGATATTAAGCTCGTATGTACGTCGACCGTGTGTCCGACGACGTGGGAGTGTCATCGACGTTTGTAAAGCGTTGTTGACATTCTCGGTGGAAACATGAAAATTTCATATTTCGCAGCGGTCAGACACGACGGAGGCGGCCCGCATATTCGTATCGCGTTATGCATTATATTACATATTGGTTATTATCATACTTTCGTATTCGTTTTGTTACAAGTCTTCGTTCTCCTCTACATAACGTTCATGTCGACTCGCGATGCTCGTTCATACCCTCTCCCTCTTTCGCGAACGAGAGAGAGAGAGAGAGAAGTCCGTTCGCCTGGTAAAAGTCATAACAGTCGCTGTCTGGGAAACCTGAAATCGATTCCCCTGCGGGTATTCACCCCTGCAACGTGCAGGTGCAATAGACTGTAGTGGATTTACCATCTGGAATTATTGGACGCGCTTTCTCGAAGAATGCGCTCGCGTTTCGCGTGCTCAGCGGAATAGCGCAACAACAATATTCATCCTCTCTAATTATTGCATAGCGCGGAATTATCGCCAATTATTATGTAATTACGATTAAAGATTCATTCACGTTTCATTGCGATTCATGTCGGCCGCATTATCGCGTCTTGCCATGTCGTATTTCCAGCGGAAAATTAGCGGACCCCGCCCGCTATAATTACAGTAAAATAAATTCTCATACACAGAGGACAACGAGGAAGCTCTCGGTTGGTCTCGGAAAGGTAATATCGCGAGCTAGGAATTACGGTCATTTTCAGGACGTTGTATTAATCTCGTAATTCGACGGTCGGGTGTATCGCGCAAGGCACATTGTGGATATTGTTTCGCCCGAAAAAAGAGGGAAAGAGAATCGGCCGCCGTGTCGGCCGCTCTTGTCACGTCGTATCCGAGAACTCACAGGGATCGATATCGCGGAAAGCTCCGACCGTCCCATGTGGAATTTGAAGGATCGCTCATCATGCGCGAGTGTGTGCGCGTGTGTTACGAAAATGTGACGTTATTTCTTCGTCTGGTATCGCGCACTTCGCGATATGGGAATTCATAAACGATGCTATCAGTGGGAACAGGCATTCTTGTCGATTACGTTTGGTGGTTTGACGGCTAATGTATAGTAACACTCGTACAAAGAGAAACAGGTTTATTCCGAATTTAGTATACTCGTTTGACTTGTTTAATATAAACAACATAATTTGTAATACCAAATATCATTTTGCTTGAATGAAAATGTTGTTTCACTAAAGAAAAACATGTTTGATAAAAAAAACAATATTATTCAGATGAAATAATATTTCAATAGAAGAAATTTATTTCATTATATATTAAATATTGTTCCACTAAAGAAATTCTTTCGTATTTTTTAACGTAGTGTTATTTTTTCCAAGTAATTTATTGCTTACGACAACCACCGTAATGTTTGGATGAAAATACAAAAGATATGTTATTTGACGTAAAGATATTCATTGTTCGAGAAACCAAACAATTCTGCTTGTTGGACTAAACATTCGTTTGTTTGCTCCATACCAAAAGATAAGTTTGTTTCAATTAAAGAAACTTTATTCCAAAGAAATCTTTTTCTCTATGCACAGAAATTTTCCTTGACTTTCCCAAACACACCATAGATTTCGATCAGAATACCTAAGGTAAGTTCCCAAAAAAGATGATCCCACTACGATATTAATAGGGAATTCGGTCCTGATCCCAAAAATATGGGACGAAGCTTCTCTTTCACGATGCTAATTGGCTGCGGCTTGCGCCGCGTGCGATCGTCATCGCCAGAGTCGAGTGACAGTTTAATTGGATATATCAGATTAAAAGGTTAATAAATTAGGTTATATTTTTAATGTGTTTAAACTTAATAGCACGTGTGTATCTAAAGTATAAATATTTAAAGCATTTTGTACATTTTGTCCAATCGTAGTATAAAATGGAAAGCAGAAAAAATCTCTGGGCAAACGTTGGAAGTGACGAATATACAAAGAAAAAGGTTCCTTAGGAATTAGTACACGTGTTTGTTTAACTTGGTTTGTTTAATACACTGAAAAAAAGATTTCTTTGAATTTAATAAATTTTATTGCATCCGAACAAATTTCATCGTTGGCATGCTCCAAAGAAACTAATGTTTCGATTAATAAATACGATTGTTAGACTTTTCAACGAATATGTAACTTTATCTTAAATAAAAAATTTGTTTGAAGCAAAAAATACTCTTCTTATAAAGAAATTATTCGTTTCATTTTACATATTTATTGTAAACAAATTATATTTTATTCGGTTGAAAGATATTATTCTAAATAATAGTTTTCTCGAATGAGACAATAAAATTTTCACTCAAACAAATAATATTTCGTATATGTTGTTTCTATGAATTTTAGTCAAATAAATAGAAATACTATATCTAAAGAAACCTTTCTCTCTGTGTAATTCAATGAAAACGCGCATGTACATGTATGTGTGTGTGTACATGTATGTGTGCGCGTGCTCGTTATCGTTGCTGAAACGAATCAAGTTTCCAGTTACATCGATCTCGAAAAAGAGCCAAAAATCAACCCAAAAATCAACGGTATGTAGAACAACGTTTCTCGCGTTGGGCGCGCCGCAAGGTAACTTTGCAAGTGCGAGATGTTATACAATCGCCGCCGGCACTTTAGATACGATGTCATCGGCATGCATCAAGTTAGCCGAGCACTAACGCGATGTTCCATCGACGCTTCCGATTAAGAATTTCGCCGCAGCGACATGCCGCAAGGCCGCAGAACGCTGGTTTCACGGTAGATTGGATATTGTTGCACACGTGTAACTGCAATTTCCGGAATAATTGGCGCATATTTTGCAGCATTACGACGTCGATCAATTCCTGAAACGAGTTACGCGCCCAGCTGCACGTTGTTCGCCCAATCGCTCGCGAATTAATTCGAATCGAAGGTTCGAAGGGAAAGGACGGTTTCTCTCGAGTGTTGCGAGAGAACGTGGCTGCGATATACTTTACTTTCTTATCGCTTCTTTCCACGCCAGATGTCACTACCTTGCACTCGCGATGACAAGACGCGGCTGCAGCGTGGTGCACGTGTCCCACGATTCAAAATGATATTCAAAAACGGTTGCGCGATGATTAAACTAACAATTAGAAAATGCTTTTCTCCGTCGAGTTAAATATTTATTCGGATCGTGTATGACACAATCCTCCCTTTCCCGACGAAGAGGTGCACGCTGTCGATGCTCTTTGCGCGTCTTCATGTTTTACAACGGGAAAATCGTCCCTAAATTCCTCGCCGAACGTACAAAAGAAAAGAGATTCAAAGGCCGTAACGTTCCATTCCGCACGCACGCACACACACAGACGTATCGCGCTCGGACGCCGAAAGTTTCGCAGCATCCGAGGAGCTGTCGAGTGTCCGCGCGGATGCCGAGTCTTTATCGATCGATAGCGACGAAATGGATTTATCCCGGCGTAACTGCGCGATCATCGGCGATAATTAACCTCGGCACGATAAGCTTGCTGACGGCGGACAACATCCAGCGATAAGTTGATCACCCGTCCGGAAGTCGATAATAAAGGAGGACGGTAAGGACGGGAGGACAGACGCGCATACGCATTCCCGCGGTCGTAGGTGACGAGCGCCGGGGCTTTCGTTCAGATGCGTTTCTCGATTCTGACGTCGCCGGGCCGGTCGGTCCGGCCGATCCTCGCAAATCACCCTTCTCCGACCTTAGCGAATATTGATTTTGCGAGTTTCGAGGTTTCTGGAGCAAGCCCGACGCCCCGGCGACGCAGGCGCCGACGGTGACGCTGGCAGCATGGCGTAGCCGCTCGCTTGGACCACCGCCTGGGGCTGCCGCGACTTCCGCGTGCGATCTCCCCTGCCAGGATGCGATCCGTTCGGCGGAAATCGCGATTCGCTCCGAGCCGAAGACCGAAGTGCCGCCGACAGTGAACACGCTCCCGGCGAGATGAACGGCCACCAGGGACGCGTCGCCGCCACGTGCTTCTTACTCGTCGCGGCGATCGCTCTTACGAGCGGTGAGTATCGAATATTCACGACCCCTCGTCGGGTATCGGTCATACGCGGTGTCACCTCCGACCTGGTCTTCTCGCGATCCCGAAAGCGCGGGTAATTCTGACGTAACGCTCGAGTGATACGCTGCTCGTGATACTCCGTCAAACAGGTAGTCGGAAACGTCGGTCGAGTTTGTTCTATCGCGGTAGCGAGGTAGCCAAGAGTGCTCGGGGTTGCGTAGACTCGCTCGGCCCAACAGGTGTTGATTTTCAATTTTCAAAACTTTATTCACCCCGACTCGAACCCAGCGTCATTTTCATTTATTTGCCGGTTCGCCGGAGATATTGTCTGTTTAATGTAATCGGTGGATGACGGTACGATCGTTTTCACTTACTTTCGCGACGACTCGTGAGACCGGAGCGTGAAGTGTAAATTCGACTTTCATGTGAACCCGAGTAAATTGACATGAAAATAATAAATTTATCTTTTCAACATACTGTCTTCTATGTAGAGTAGAATGTGAGAGTACTTCCGTTGCGAATATGATCGAGCCTGTGCAAATGACAGTTGGAAATCTGACGCGTGCGACTCGCTTGAACTTTCGACGAAAATAGCCTGCGCCACGTTTGTACTTGTACTTGTTTTGTGTGTATATAATACACTGGGCTGGGGTTATCGTGAAAATAGGTCAGCTAATGTCAAAGGAGCATCGAACGCACGCGGCTTCCGAAAGAGCGAATGACTTGTGGTGCTATCAGTGCGATACCATGGAAGACGGCGACAAATGCTCCAATCTAACTAGCAATACCACCTCCTTCCAGCATAAGTGCTTGGACGACAAAAGGATTTGCATGGTAAGAGCTGCGAACGCGAAACACTTACGTTTAAAGTTGCGTTCACGCTCCGATCTTATATTTCAGTCTTTTTGAGTTCATCTTAAGTAGCTGTGCAGTCAATGAAAGGGCTTTTGTGGCAACTAAGACAAATTAAGGAGATCTTAAATATATAATATCGGATTATGTGAATATCACCCGTAAACTATCGTGTTTCGTTCTTCTCGTTTCTTTCTCTTTTCTTCCTTTTTCATTTCTTGCACAGTAAGAAACATGTATTTATATTAAAATCGGTCTTTGTTAAAATTTCTGTGTTAAATTTGTAACATACTCGTATGTTATTGTATTTATGTTATCTCAATATTTTGTGTTGAATCGATATTCAATATATGTAAATATTAACATATGTAAGCATTAAAATAACACACTTTATAGTGTCAATTAACTTTATAGAGTCGATATTATGGATGTTAAATTTGTATTAATTTATAATATAATATTTATGTTACTTTTCATCATATTTAGCTTGTGTTACATTAACACAAAAATTTGTGTAGGCCGTTTGGAACATTTATATGTTCGTTTCTTCATAAAATTTGCTCTCTGTAAAATTCCTCCCTATAAAATATTTTTCTCCGTGTAAATGCGGCGACCTGATCATGCGGGGCTGCCGTACGGCATGCCTTTCCTGCTTTTTTTCCTCGCCTAATAAATATTAAATAATCGATGAATATGTGAAATTCGCACGTTGCAGGTAAAACGTTTCTCCTACACGACCAGCACCGAGAACTCGACCTCCATGCCGCAAACATGGTCCTTGGAAAGGAACTGCACGAACAAATGCGACCCGGGATGCATCGTGATCGGCGAACGCACGAAGCTGTATGCCTGCACCGCCTGTTGCGAGACGCATCTATGCAATACCGGTACCGGTACTGCCAACGACCTAACGATCAAAGAAATCGACCTCCTGCTGGCCCTCACGCTCCAAGTTGTCCTGACCGTTATCATGTATCCATCGTGACAGTGTTAATAAAGACTCTAGTTACAATTTACCCCGTCGCCTCAGGCCAATCTAATAATTCGCCGATCTACCCGCATCTTGCGAGACACATACATATTTATAAATGTGAAAGTGTGATCGTATATTCTGGATTCCTGAATCGTGTGTATAGCAAAGCTAGAGAAAATATTTGCTTGAAATTAAATCGAGATGAAAAATGGGATTTGCAACTCTTACGACGTTGATCTCGCGATTCTGTTAGCCGTACTTCCAACTGTTTACTAGTTGTCTTTCTCTTCACTACGTTTCGAGTACGTTTTATTATTATTACACTTACTTTCGATCGCCGCAATTTCCCGTCGGTACTCAAAGGCTCGCCGAATTTTAATCGCTGCTGCTGGCTGCTACCAAGGGACGAAACACTATGGCGTCTGATCTCCAACTCAAATTTACCGTCCGTCACTTGTTCGTGAATACAGCTCCATCTAGTGCTGCGTATCGATACTCCGAGTCGAAGTCGAGTCGCTGTATTAACATATCGACAACGCATACGTGATTTAATGAAATTAACGAAATACAATTGTTTATTCTTTTATTAATGTAAATCGTTCTGTTAACGTAAATCGTAAACGTTAAAAACAATATCAGCAAGAATGAAGTTAGAAGAAGAAGTCATTTAAATTTAACGTTACTTCTAGTGTCTGGCCGATCTGGCTGTTCTCTTTCTGATTAATACAAGTATACCATTTTCCTTGCGGTCGGACACTGATTAACTCTCATTCGGCAATCATTAACGTGAACGACTAATTTTTCAAATTTCATCGCCACGATTCGTTCGAATTCGTCACGAATTTTGATACGAAGCAGCAATCTCCGTTTCGAATCAAAGTTACATCTCGCTCTGAAGCAACGCCTCAGTCGTATTAGTTTTCTATTTGCACGTCCTTGTCCCGTTCCATGATGAGCGATGTTTACCTTCGCGTATTCGCGACGCTCAGCAGTGTCCAGCCGTTGTCCCGATATCTTCGCTGTCCGAGAAGAATAAAATTGGATTTATTACGTGTAACAATTGCACTCATCGTGACGTTAGAACATTTCCTTCACTCGCTCCTGGGCTGCCCATCGTCAATACCTAGAAGCATATGACACCAGGAGGAAACAGGTTGCGCAATCAGCATGACCGCGCGTTCGAAGTGGTCGTTAGCTCCGTCACATAAATATGCGAGGTTTCTTCTTTGCTGTTCGCGATTAATTAGCTGCAAAGTCAATAAGCCGCCTCCGTTTTTTCGTAATACTGCGTCGCAAATATTTACCGTGTATCTCGTGCCTCAACGGTTGAAAAAGAAAAAGCCAAGGAGCGTAAGTTTGCGCTTGATCGATGTTGCGATCGATGACATTCGTCTTGAATTGATTAATACGATAGGTTGGTAAGACCATCCTTCCAACCGTATGTGTACACTTTGTAGAAATCTTGTAGAAACTGATTTTGTATGCAAAAAAATGTCCCACGTCGGTAAATAAATATTGCTTCGCAAGTCAGTTGCAGGTGAAATAATGTGAAATCTGTATACATGCGCATATACACATAGATATATGTGTGTATTAGGAAGAGGAAAAAGGGAAAAACCTGTATCGATAAATGCTGCGTGATAACGCTTCTCATTCCGAGATTAGCATCTGTAAACAAAACAATCCAGCCGTTATGATTGCAAATTGTAAACTTCACAAAAGCTCACTTCTGCAAGGATTTCCTTTCATTTATATTTCATTCATTTCATTGTTAACGGGAAAAATCCCTCCTAGTACAAATTAATATGTGATATTTAAAAGGCTAAAGATTAAAAAATGAGAAATATTTACATCGAAAGAAAAAGAATTGAAAACGAAATTCACAAATATGCAAGTACCTACAGCATTAATGTTCAAAAGACACTCTAGAAATGGCCGGAAGATATTCTTCTTGTTTTATATCTTGTTTTTATATGCCTTCAAGGTATCTCCAAAATATATTCTGAACATTTCTGCTGTGTGGGTATAAACGCAAGCGATATATCGGAGCTCAAAGAACTTTGTAATACCTAATTTAAAATATTTCAAAGACATCGGTCCATATACTGAACTCACTTTTCTCGATAAAAGTGCCTCTAAGAGTGACGTAGAAACTATCCGATTTACTGAGAAACCACATTTAAGGCATTTTTATCGATAAAAATGAATCAGAATATGGATCATAATAAATATCTATTGACTTATGATAAATATTCGCTAACAAAGACAACTTTATTGGTTTAAATTTACCATAAAAAATGCGGTGCAAACATATATGAAAACGGAAGTATCTAACAATCCTAAGAGGAACGTTAAATGTGAGTAACTGTAGTAACTCAGGGGGCGTTTAACAAGAATTTCTCAGAATCTTAAACAAAATAGATGAATTAAAAGATCCATCGATCTCGCCGTAGCAGTCAGGACTGCAACGCAAACGCGACCAAGTGTCCGGACGAATAATCGGGGCTCGGTTGCGAAAAGTAACCGCACGCAACGCCGGCGACTCACCGATGACGGCGATGTCGTAGGTAGTGGTGGTGGTGATGTTGAAGTTTTATCTACTACCATCGCGCGCTTTCCGCGATAAATACCGCTCAACGTTCACGCGCGCGTTACTACTACCGGGGAAGCGGAAGAAAAACGGCGATACTGCGCCGGCAATCGGCCGCCGGCGACGACGGTCGGTTGTCCAGCACCGAGGGAGACAATCACGCGCACAGTCGGAGCGAAGAGTCTCGCCGGACAGCATGCACGCGACGGGAGCGTTCACTGCCGTCGGTGTCACAATCTACTTCCTGTGTGTCATCTCGAATGCCGTCACTTACCCGACAATGAGCGCCATACGACACCGGGTCACGGAGGACACGCCGCCGAGGAAGTGCTGCGTCGCCGGTTACGCGTTCAACGAGGACCTCGAGTGCGTCCACGTTGAGGACCTAGGCAGACTCAACTACACGATGGACGATACCTGGAGGGCGCAACAGGAAAGGATCGCCACAGTGATCGTGTCCGCTGCGCAAGGCTTGAACTGTCACGAGGAGGCCAGCGCGTCCAGTAACCATCTCCGGCGCAGCTACGCGCCCACGTTCCACACGTCGACGCAATATTGCGTCGAGAAGATGACGAACGGTACGTCGGTGTTGGCCAAATGTCCCCCGGTGTCTTCCGGCGCAGCGGCTTTCTTCTTGACGTTGATGATGAGCGCGAGGAACAAAGTGAGCACGACGGTAATGACCATCAACAGGACGTCGGTGACGTCAACGGACACGCAGGACGTATCCAAGAAGGAGGAGGTCACGTATTGCAGCCACGGATTGAGCGCGGTGGTCTTCTGGGGCGCGCAGACCTACATGGGCACCAACGTGGCGCACGTGGTCCTCTGCATCATCGTCGTGGCGGTCTACCTGTCCGTGCCGGAGCTGGGCAAGAAGATATACAATCGCGCGGTGTTGCGTCACAACGTCTGCCTGCTGCTGCAGGGCTCCATACTGACGTTCCTCGCCTTCTGCGACCTGTGCGAGTGCCCGGTGACCGACAACTTCACCGTCTTCCTGTGGATAGCCCTGCAGTACTTCACCAACGCCACCGGCTTCTGGCTCAACGTGATCTGCTTCGACATGACCTTGTCCATCACGAGGTTCCGCTGGATGGCGGGTACCGCTCAGCGCAACAGCCGCGAGGAGTACAGGCGGCTCCTCATCTACGGCGTGTTCGCGTGGGGTAGCGCCCTGATCCCCGCCGTAGTCGCCCTCATTCTCGAGTACGTCCCCGGGATCCCGGAGGATTTCCCGCTAAAACCGAATTACCGTCACTACCGTGACGGGCCGAACATCGTGGTGAACCTCTACTTCTTCGGCATACCGCTGCTCACGCTCTTCTGGAACAACGTGCTCTTCGTGTTCACTACCTACAAGATCGTACGTATACAGAGGAGCACGGAGATAGCGACGCGAGGCCAGAACAACGCGCTGCGGAAGAAGTACTTCCTGTTCCTGCAGCTGTACCTTCTCATGGGCTCGCCGTGGTTCTTCGGCTCGCTGCTCGCGTGTCTCAACAACCTGGTGATACTCAAAGTGTGCCGGCTGGTACAGCCGATACTCTGGCTCCTGATGCTCGTCGGCCACAAGAAACTGCGGCGGAAACTCACGGACAAACTGCGCTGCTTCGAGAGGCGGACGGAGGCCAGCGCGATCAGCTCGTAAACGCTCCTTTCTCTCTCATCTTTCTCTCCGGTAGGGTCTGAAGAAGAGGGAGCGAGTGAGAGCGATGTGAACGAGCGAGACGGCGATAGACGGTGAATCAGCGATCTTCGTTTCGGATATTCAAGCGTCGCGGAGCTGAGATCGACGAAGACATGGGGATGCCCGTGATCGACGTGTCCTCGACGCGGTCGCGATTACGCAATCGCCGCGCGCGCGACGAAGAGTCCCTCCCTCACTCTCTCTCTCTCTCTCTCTTGCTCATTGTTGCGGCGGCTCGCGCAACTGCGCCGCTCGGTCATTTGCATTTTTTCCTTGCGCAATCCGGCCCCTTAGGAAACCCCCGTCGGGGAAAAGACGCGGGCGAGACGGCGGAGAACGTCGCCGCAATATCCGATGTACCGCGGCGCGATGAGTCGCGCTCGGAAAAACTCGAGTTCGCAGGATTACACGGCGGCGGCGGTGAGGTGCGAGTAAGGCTGGATAATAAAGGAGAGTCGACGGCGTCTGCCGACGTTTCCTGCCGTTTTAATTACCGTATTTTCTTGCCTCGTGTATACCGAATGACAACGACGACGACGACGGTGCGACACTCGCTACTCCCTATACTTCTTTTCCTCGATGTGTGGCATATTAAGTTGTTAGTGTATGACGTAGGCGAGAAGAGCGAGAGAGCGAGTATTTTGCAGGGAAATTCCGACAAATTCACTTAGAACACTTGGTCGATTCTTTCTTCGCCGATAGATACGTGTGTGCGTGTGTGTGTGTGTGTGTGCGGCGAATCAGCCGACCGCAAGCGCTAATGAATGCGAAATATATCGTTAGAACGTGCGAAATATTTCACTCGTGCTCTCATACGCCGATTTCGCGCCGAATATTATGTAGGTATAGAGGCTTTCGTCGTAAATATGTAAATATCATAGAGATATTACAGAAATTCCGATATCTAGTCAATGAGAGAATAAACGGGTCGATTAACAAATGTAAATAAGACTCGCCGGAAGGAATTATCGTGAAACGTGAACCCCCCTCTCTCTCTCTCTTTCTCTCTCGATAGCGCAATTACGATCGCAAAGGATCGATAGATAACAGCCTACGGGCAACGACTTATTAAAGGCGCATTGATTCGATGACGTTCGCGTTGTACACGGTATAACGCGATACAAAAACCGTAATTGTTAAGGTAATTTAAGGTAAAAACTAAAATAATTAAAGATAATTTAAGGCGATACCACACGATCGCGTACTTCGAAGAATATGTGATACACGTTGCATCACACATATGCGATTAATGCGAATAATATTAATTACATATTCGGAGGAGATAAATAGCTTTGGTGTAAATTAATGTATTACGTATTGATTTTTACGATCTGTAAACATAGAGAACGACTGAAAAAAGAAATCGTTATCATCGGTAACGTTCTTTTATGCGACATGAAAATTTATTTGGAAAATACGCTCATCGCGCTGCGAAAATATATTTCGCGAGAACTCGGGGAATTTTATCAGCATGAAAATATTCGCGAATATGTTCGCGATGAATGCTTTTAGGGCGAGATTTAAATGAATAAAGCATACGTTTAAATCGATCATGTCTTTGTCTTGCATACATTATTCTTATTCCTAAAAGGAAAGTACACCTTAGTTTTGTAAAATTACGTAATGCTTAATGTTATTATTGCTACAATCGAAGTTGTCCCTGATTGCATATATATATTGCGTGTTTAATGATTGAATATATACCGCCAAAAATGATTTTCATTGTGGACATTATAGTTATTTATCCATCGTATATATGATATAAACAACATAATTTAATATCAAATATTTTGTTTAAAATGCTGTTTTCATTAGAATAAATTATGTTGTTTGATAGAAAAACAGTATTATTTATAGGGAATAATATTTAGTTTTCAAAAAAAAAATTTATTTCATTATGTAATAAATACTGTTCAACTAAAACAAAGAAGTTCTTTAATATTTTTCCAACATAGTGTAACTCGTTCCAAATAATTTATTACTTGTGACAACCATTATAATGTTTGCATAACAATACAAAAGAAATATGCAATTTGACGTAAATATTTATTGTTTGAGTAGCCAAACAATTCTGTTTGTTGAATGAAACATCCGTTTATTTGTTCCATGCCAAAAGACAGATTTGTTTCAATTTAAAAAAATTTATTAAATCCAGAGAAACTTTTATCTCTGCGTGTACATGTGTCGTATTACGGTAGATGTTTAACGTATAATACATGTTGACACTCGAATATTATTACCCTCTTGATGGATTTTCCTCATAAGACCGTTAACTAGAAAGGCTTATATTCCGCTAATCCCCGTAAGTATGTGCGGACGTGTCGTGAGTCATCGCCTGGATATCGCCGCAGATTGCATCAATATTTATACCATGTCGTTACATCGCGTGTACACCATGCGGATTCGTGTATGTTATTTCGCGAGAAAAAAAAACAAAAGCTAATTTATTCGCGTCAACCTTTGTTTTTCCAGTGTGCGATTTATTCCTATTTTATACGAAAATCTTTCCGTCACGTTTGCGACGTTGCGCGCGTGCACGCGATTAAACACGGAGCACGAAAAATATCGTACACGAAATAACAAAAGCTGTCAGCCGCGAATTTATTTATATTACAAACCGCTTTCAAACACCGAAATTCGTACGTACAGACAGGTATAGCTTGACAGTCATTATGTCCGACTGGCTGTCCGAGTCGTTTACTCTCAGAAACGATTTCCATCCCGCGGATCCGCCGCACGGTACGCAAGATTACGATTTAGGCGCCTTGAGGAGCGACCAGCAGCGCGAATTGAACGAAATGAAAATGATCACCCGCAGAGAGAATGAGATTTACCTCCAGGCTCATCCGGAAGTCCGGGCTTTAATCGCCATTTTGCTAAGGTGAGCCGCACGTATATACGTAACGCGCATACATCACGAGCTGGAATGCGCCTGATATATCACGTACGTAATTTTCCTCAAGAATCTCTCGCTCCTTCTATCTGTCACGTGCATCACGGAAATATTCACCCCGTACCAATCACTCGTATGTAATAACTTCTCGAAAAGAAAGGACAAATGTACATGTCGATTATGTGACTCGCTCGATGCGCGATGAGAACATCTGCACATTCGGTATTAAGGGTGCGTCGTTAAAATCGTCCGCAGACACGTCCTATCGAAGCAGCCGCTCATCGATATTCCCGAAGTCGTGGGGACATTTTTCAACAGATCGCGTCGTGAGATTGCCGCTGACCTTTTGGATTACTTCTCGTCCGCCGATGAACGACCGGATATAATGGACAGTCTGCGATGGGAATTATTTCGGACGAACGACCGCATCAAAATTCCGGACGGTGACTCTTCGAGTTCGCGAATCTCCGATTGTGTCTCATGCGACTGTAATTCGTGCGGTAAAATGCTGTAACTTCTGATAATTCTGTCTAATTATTCGATCCGGCGCGAGCCGGCGTAGACGAGCGAGAGCTCAGCCTGCTGCCTGTTCGTACGTGTTCAAATCGGTCACGAGTTATGGGAATCGGTGATTCCTGGAAGCAAGCCGAGCTGCTTCCAGGAAGAGCCCCGAAACGCTCGGCCAATCACGGCGCTCGCTTCCGCGACGGACCTGTTCGAACAAGTCCAAAGCAAGAGATCGTAACATGAGATAAGAGGTAAACACAACATTATTACAATGATATTTTATAATATGTAACGTTTACAAATATATAATTTTTCGTGTTGTATACAACATCACCGTTAACAATATTTGATTGAAACATTAAAAATAATATTTCTATGATTTTTATATTTAGGAATATTATATTATCAAGTAACAATTTAGAAACATTTGTGAAGAATATTATGTCAAGTGTTTGTAAAATCGACATAAAATCAGTGTTTCAACATTTAATTTAACATTTCTCGGAACTTACACTGAGGAATCTCTACGACGCGACTACGTCGGACGGCTTGAGAAATTACGAAAATGGCATGATTACAGTGGTTATAACTATTACGATTACCGAGCGAATTATTACGACAAAGGTGATATTATGGGTATAATTATCGTCTTTATGGTCACAATCACACGGTGAAAAAATTATGATTGCGCGTAATATTGCGCGCGTTATTGCGCGCTTACGCAATGACTCGAGATTCTTGTCTGTCCCATTTTCTTAATTATTAAACCCACATACATATGCTTTTATGAGTGTGTTCTCTCTCACATTCTTCGCGCTAGTTAACCAATAATAATATGTCTCCGTTTACCACACCCGTTACTGTTAGATTTCAAGTTAGATTCATTCGCGATCGTTATCGTACACAAACGACAAGATCTTTTTGATCATAATTCGATCGGAGATAATTTTCCCGTATAATCTATAAAGAGGATGCAGGAGTTAATATCCCCGTATCCTCTTTATAGAACGTCATGCTTCTCGCTTTCGTCAAATTTGTCTGCCTACATCGAAAGCTTTTGTGCGTGTCGTAGATATGCGTGACTTTCGCACAGTTACGCGCGCGCATACATACGCAGCGTGTGACGTGCAACCGGTTATCCTTATTAATTTGAACCTTATCTCATTCATTAAACGGTCGAACAAGCGACAATGCGAAAAACCATTAGTCGCGATTAACGCGAGCGCGCGCGTGCACGGTTGAAAAGTAATGAACGCGTTATCGATTAGATAAAAGCGGAGCGCGAAAAAACGCGAGAATGCAGTTACGGCCGAGTTACCTGACAATATTCAGCGGCGATATTTATCTGGTCGCGCTAACGACAACGCTAAGCGGTTATCTCGGGGGTAATACGATGGGCGGTTTTCTAACCGCCTATCCGATCGCCCAGTATGCAGTCGGCTCCAACTAACTGAAGTTAATTAAATTTTGTTTCTCTATCGGGACGCCTTGTCGAACTGTTGCTTTAATGGCAATCTCTTAATGACCAATCCCCGGCGTCGATTCTCCTTCTCGGCTGAGAGTCGGCGGAGACGAAGTTTCCGCGAGGCTCGCAGACGAGTCGAAATAAGTCGCATTGTCGGCGAAAAAGCGAACCGCAGGCGTCGATTGGAAGAGTATTATCGGAGTAATTAATATCGAATCGCGTACCCTGCAGGAAACGTTTTTGTCGTCGCATCCGAGCCGATCGGTTATCTCGTGACGCGATTCGTCGCGGAACCAATGAAATTAACCATTAACCGTATGTACAAAAGCGATCGTACCGCCGTGTAATGAAGTAACGTATACCGTTACCACGCGGTACGCTCCCATCGACAGTTTCCGGTTACTTACCGAGTTGGGAGGGGGGAGGAGCGGGGAGAAACGGGGAGCTGCTCGCGATTGTTTGAGTAGCCGCTGGAATTCCGGTGCGAGTGTCACACATTGTCCTTTCATTCACGTTGCCACCAGCCGTGTCTTCCGATCACGCTGCAAACACGACTGCCGAGGACCATCGTCGCGTCTCTCGCATGTTTCACAGGCGCTCGTGGATCCTCGCTTTCCGCGGGGGATTCTCGTGAATAAATTCCCGCTGCGAATACGAATATTCCATAAGTGCGCGGAGAGATACACGACTCTCGGCTGAGCGAGTTTTCCAAAAATCCGCACAGAGAGAAAGAGAGATACGCCGGTGTAATGCATACTTACGAATCTAAAATATTTGCTGGGAATTTGTCGGAGTCTGCTTTCCCGGAAGCTCGACTTGCTCTTCGCGAAAGTCACGTGTTTACAAACAGAACGGCGACTCAAATCGAGGGCACAAAAAAAGAATACGTAAAATGCTACATAGTTTCAAAGACTCGGAAAAATCGAGTTTTTTTTTCATTTTTCGGCGATTTTTTCGCGAAAAACATAAAAAAAAACATTTTTTTCATTCTTTCTATAGTTTTTGTGAAAAAGCGGTTTCTCCAAACAGTATATCTTTGGTGATCGGTAATTCCCATTTCTATCATCATGGTTTAAACCTAATCAACGATTAATCCAAAGAAATTGACGAAACGCGTTGATCAGTTCAATTAATTCGCCAATGCGATTGATCAATTTCTTTGATGTAATCGTCTATTAAATTTAAACCATGATAGTAGAAAAGGGCGCTATAGTCGACGAAACTCAACGGGGAACTGTTTAGTACGTGACACTGTCATCTTTATATTCTCTGTCGTGACTGGTTGATAAGTTTGCTGCTTAAATATTACAGCTTGCGTTTTCATGTATGTCTTTCACGTTAAGAAGTTTTCTATTAGCGATTGGCGCTCTTTCTCTCTCTCTCTCTCTCTCTCTCCGTTCATGTTCATACATATACACAAAAAGACGTAGTTTGTACTCTGACCGCGTGGTCGATGGGCATCGCCCGACGGTGCGCCGGTGAGCCGCTTACATTAAACGCGATGTTGCAATGGCGGCCGGACAGAGCCGGCTCTACAGACGCGTGCACCCATAGCGCCGCGAGATAAACGCCGTGATCAATCGCTTCATCGATCGGCATCGTCGGAGACTTCAACGCGGTCTCGCCACTCGGTGTACCGGACACAATTAATTATGCCCGTCCAACAACCGGAAGAATCGATTTCCACAATGGAATCAGATAATCCCGCTTGACTTCTCTCTGAGTTAGAGGGTAAGGACACGCTTTACGAGACGGGTCGTACTTGATCGGCGATACGTGAGGTCGCCCTCACAGTTCAGTATCCATGATGTGCCACGATAAACTTTGAGAAGATGCTCGCTCCCTCCGTCGAATTTGCTCTGGATCCTTTCTCCGAACTCGTCCGGATGTATCGAAAAGTCGCACCTATATCGGGATAATCACATTGTTGTTGCTAATGGTCCAAAACGAACGAGTCCGCGTGTACTCGCGGAGGCGTAAATTCCGACGGAATCATCATTAAGAACGGAACAAATCGGATAACGAGGCACCGATTTTAGCCGGTGAGCGGTGACTTTTCCGTGGAAACGGCCGGGCTGTCGGGCGATTAAAGAGAAATCAATTTTTCAACTTTGCACGGGGCTCCCGGCGCATCTAGACACAGATTTGCGGCGCGCGCGCCCTGCGCTCTCGCGGTCTCGGCCGCGCGCGGAAGCGGCCGAGCGCGGCCGAAGACCCGCGTGGCGCTATAGGAGACTCAACGAGCGGCCAGTCACGAATCGGCCTTCGCGCAGGCGGTAACGTCGCTCCTCGCGGCAATTCGTCGCGTCGTCTCTATTTTCATTCGCGCGATACGACCGGCGGCTGCGCTGACACGTTTGAACGGTCCGTAGAAACGAGAGAGTGATAGATTATCGGGCGATGGGCATCATCCGTGAGCACGATGCCGTAGTTCCGCGGGATTCTCGGCCTCCTTACGTCTCTCCTGCGTCTCACCGACGAGATTAACGCGAACAATTTCGACGAAACATCGCGGAACATCAATCAACCGATCGACCGACCGACGGCTGATCATCCTCGTACTTGTCGCGTGACCAACGACCGACGATCGCGCTCCTCGGGGATGGAACGTAGCCTCTCGTCGCGGTCGCGCTGCGAACGCGACTGTTGACACCGCGCCGACAGCGGTAGGCTCTCCTCCGGCTGACGGAGCCGAGCTCCCCGACGACGGCGTTGTCAACACGTTGTCCGGGTGGCGTATCGATCAACCGGCGGTGAGCAAGCGTGACAGCGGTTGAGCAAGCTTCTCTCCGCAGCATTCGGCCGTAACGAAGTGCGAGACGACGGAGCGGGCTCGAGAGAGAGATATTACCCCGGCGGCCGTCGCTCTCTCCGGCGTTTCGCGTCGCGTCGCTTCCGCGTCCCTGTGCAATGGCAGACGCTCCGCAGCGAATCGCTCGCCCCGGCGGTCCTCGACGAGCGACGGGAGAAGAAGCCGCGCGCGAGTTCCGTCAATGATCGACGACGGCTGATCGTATCGCATATCGATATAAACGCCGAAGAGTGCCATTTGCGAGTCCGTTGTGTACCGCGTAGACGCGCAAACGAGCAGCGGAGAAGAAGAACGTTGTTGGAGCGCGTTCTTCGAGACGACTCGACGATGCGCGAGTGCTGATCAGCGCGCATCCCGGGTAAGCCCCCCTCCCCCCCTGAGCCCTGTCGCCGTAGTCACCGTCGTCGGCTGTGCGCGCGCGAGATCACGCTCCAGACACCACGGAGAATAGAAAGAGCAGCACGCGCACGGGGTCAACCCTCGGATATATTAACGAAGATGTGCATCGGCGGTGGATTGATCGATCGGTTGCTCTTGTTAGCGGCGTTCGGAATCACGGTCCAAGGTATGCGAGATCCTCTCTCTTTTTTTTCCTTTATTCTTTTTTTTTCTCTCTATCCGATTCACCTCCGCGCGCGCTTTGTGTGCGCCCCCCTCTCCCTGGCGCGCAACCCTTCGCATTTCGGGTCCCCCTTCGCATGCTCCGCTTTTACGGTCTGATGTCGTCTCNCCTTCGCATTTCGGGTCCCCCTTCGCATGCCCCGCTTTTACGGTCTGATGTCGTCCCCCCCCCCCCCTCCCCGCGCGTGCGAGCGCGTTGCGTCGTTGTGTAAATAGTATACGGGGTGTCCACGCGCGACAAGGCAAGCGAAAGAACAGTGGACGATCTCGATCGGCGTTTTGTAAACGGGATGCCCGCCGTCGCCGCCTAGTTCCCACGGATTCTCTCCCGATCGGTTTCATCGCTTTCCGTGACGGCGGCGGTGCGGATATCCCATTCGCATAAATTGATTCGCGCACACCCCTCTCGCCCCGTTACGTTGTTTCGTCGATCGTATTCCGCCGAATCCCCGCAAATCGAGTTCGCGCGGCGAGGGAGAGGGCGCACTTTCCGTCGGGGATTTCGGTCCAAGTCGGCAGGAGAGCGCGAGTGCTTGTTTCTGTACTCTCCGAATAAAATAAATATATACATAAAAGAATAAAAAATATATATATATATATATTGCAAGATATTCGAATAACTAGTAGCCTCTGTAGGTGCGGATTTGAAATCCGTTGCTCATCCAGGCTGCGCTTCAAAGTTAACTGCAGGTACTGAAAATCTATAGTTTTTGTTACGTATGCCATAGATTTTCAGCGAATGTCGAAACGCAGTCCTAGACATTATAAATGGCGAAGTTAGCGCCTCTAGGGAAGGATTAAAAGCGCGCGGAGTTTCCTCCGAAAAGTTCTTTTCCATCTGAAGCTGCGATTTAGTATAGATCAGTTTTCAGACTAATTTGGTAGAAGTGAAATATATGCAGGTGCTACCTGCGTGTGAGGCACTGTATAAACGGCGTAATGACCACGAAAGGTGTAATAAACACAATTATTGACTGTTAAACTATAATTGATTGCTAAACTGAATCATCGGTTATCGACGTCCTGCAACGCTCACTTATGCTGTTAAATAATACGGTGGCTTTGCATTTGCTCACAATTATTTATCAAGGGTATAATTAACCATTTATTAACGCCTATATTTATTACTTATATTCTGGAATCTCCACTGTATAAAATGCAACTATTGCGATATATGTGTGTGTGTGCATGCGCAATCGTAATTTTTGTGGATGTAACATTAGCGAATGTCGCACGCTTTCGCTCCGCAGAGTCCACTTACTAATTTTAGTTTTACTAATTGCTTGATCGTGCGATATGTAAATATAATGATGCATCGTCGATTGAACTTGAGCGACGTGTAGTCGTTGAGACGGGCAACGATTATTAAAGACTTCCGAAGAGAGAGCGCTTTCGTGCCTCCACCAACACTTCCATACGCACGGGCCCCGGTATCATTCCGGCCGAAATCAATTCCGTTAGCCCCTCAATTACTTTGATGGGGGCACATCTGACCCCGATGCGGATGGCTCGTGAGATATCAATTTTATCTTGAACTCTGACTCGTAATATCCTCCCCGCGTGTGATATATGCTCTTCCCTCGTCTCGATTCTTTTATCGCCTTTGATTAATGTTTGTACTACTTATTCCAAAAATGTCGTGCGCTGAAAACTCCGGTATATTCAGTAAGTTACCTCGGGAAAGAGGTGTCCTTCGTGCAGCGAAGACAGAACGCGGAAATGTTTTTCTCTCTCTTTCACGCGAAATCCGTTCCGGCATATCACTCGAATTAAGTCTGTAGCGTCCACGAATTAGAATTGCCGGCGGTACGAACTATTTTTGTTCCTTTCTCTTCTCTTTTTTTCCCCACTATCGTAGTGTAAAGAAGCGATCGCAGTGTATAGAAACGGCGCTCTCTCCCGTTCGGAATCGAGTTTATGTTTTCGCTCAAACGATCGGCGCGCCGAGAATATATATCCCGCGCGGTAGTATTCGCGCCTGTAAGCGTTACACGTTACTTTACACATCGAGAGCGACCGATACCGGGGGTAGGGGGAAAATAAGAAAAACAAGATCCGACGAATATTAAGGGAAAGTTTCGTCGGACGGGTTATTTATTTTGCCGGTTTCCGTGTGGCCGCGTCTAAAAATAGACAACGATACGCGCTGATACGCGTAGGTTTTTCGGCGCTCTCTGTTTTCGTTGGCGACGCCGGTGTTTATCGTTATTCCAGTGTAACGCGACGTATCTATTCTTACCTATTTTTTTTCATTTCCCCAAGGTAGACAATAGACACACACACGCACACCGTATTCAATGATTCCGCCCTTAAGCGATCTCGAATTGAGAACGAAGCCGGTGTATACATTGTTGCGCGAGCAAATATTTCCTATTTGCTGAGAAAGGTGTGCGGCCAACTTCTTGTTGAACGTAGACGCTATATTGATTTCCATATAATTACGCGCGTGTGCTGCGAAATAAGGGTGAACGGCACGCGACGATTATGCTAAAGCACGTTGGACAATGTGTAAATGATAAATTAAGCTAAGTTTGCGCCGTTCTGTAATACCTGAGGTAATTCCGCTACTCTCTCACCTTCTCTCTCTTTCTCGCGTCGATCATGCTCTCCGTTCTCTCGTTTCCGCGTCTTTCTTTTTCTCCCTTCTTTCCGTCACACGGTCGCTCACCTTTTATCGCGAGTCCCGATATAATTGTTGCCACGTTATTGGTTGGTTATTACGTGGCGCCGAGAAGAACGATCGTCTCGGTCGGAAACACGTTTTAAATGACCATTACGGAGCGATTGATCCGCTCACGGTGCGATTAATCTACTTCAATCGCTATGGCGCCGACAATGCGTACTAAAAAATCGCGACCGAAGGAGAGGCTATTTTCGCGCGCGCTCTTGAGTGTCTCGGCGCGTTGACGCGTAATGAAAACGTTCGATTAAATGCGACCGCCTAAGAGATACGTACGTTATCGCGATTGAACGCGACTCGATCGTATTAGCCGCGCGCGCGAGGATTTCTCGAGCAATAATTACGAATTAATTTCGCGCTTTCTGCATTTTAAATTGTACCATGTATTTTCGCGCAACACGCGGCACTCTCGAAACGTTACGCATGCACGCACGCGCGCGCGCGCGTTCGTGTTGGTCAAAGGCGCGTTTTGCAAAACGAGCGAAGACCCACGGGTCGGGGAAAATGTCGGGAAAACGGCTTTTGGACGACGCGAATATACACGGGGGATCGTGGCACGAAAGATGCAACGGCATCCGAATTTTCACATCGCCGCGTAGTTTTACGAGGTATTTCCCTGGCCGGCGCCGCCGAATCGCCGCGCTCGACAGAAACGCGCGCGCGCCGCTACGTCGATACGCGCGCTCCCCTGCCTTTTACGTCGGCAGACATAAAATACGTTACCGCGCGCATTTTTTTTGTCTACCGTACTGAAGCCAGCATACTTGCGATGAAAGTGTTTGCAAACTAGAAACTACTACCATAGTCGTCGTCCCGTCGGCTAGGCGTGGTTATCGACGCCACTCGATTTCGCGCGCGATGACTTCGCCGATCCTCGGACTTTATATCGTCGTGATAAATTATTCGTTTTAATCACGCTGTCGTGTGATTTAACGTTACGCGCGCCCCGTGGTAATGCGCGCCTTCTCGATTTAACGTTCGGCTATCGTTCGAGAATTGTTATTATTATTATCATCATTAAAACGTAGCGCGCATACAGTCGGTGGTTTTGCCACGCTTTTGCCTCAATGAACATCGGGCCGCCGATCGTGAATCTTCCCCTCAAGTGTAAACTCGCGAGAAGAGAGAGAGAGTGAACAATTTCTAACTCGCGAGTACTTGAAAAATGTTCGCTTCTCTCGAGTTCGCGCGGGAAGGAAAGATTCACGATCAACCTCCGGAAACGCGTGCGCGATATCCGTTGGGAAACTTTATCTCCTGAGTATCACCGGAAAACAAATTCCCCGCTATTGAGTGCAGATGCGTCGCGGAACTAATCGAGACAAAAACAATGTCGCGAGCTTTCCGCTGACTGCATGTTACACGCTGGGTGTTTTTGTGAAACACAAGAGCCCGGGTGTTATAGCCCGCGACGCGTGACTCGTTGCTCCAATTTGCTTTTTCACCTCTCGTTCCGAGTTTCTCCGAGTTGTCGGCCTGCGTCGACGGGAAAATGTTCGTCGGCGATCGGTTAGCCGCGGTGATTCCACCGGGTTGACGTCGCGCGGTTAAATCGAGACAGGCGCCCGGGTCGGGAGTCACCGCTCTCGTCGTCGTCGCCGCCGGGTCGTCAAAGGTTAGCACCATGAATGCGCACGCTACGCAGGCTAACGCAACGCGACGCAACGAAAGAGAGAGAGAGAGAGAGAAACACGAGAGGAGCTACGCTCCGCGTGAACCAGTTCCAACTTTATCGATGCACCCGCACTCTCCCGGGATATCGCATACGGCCGGCGAGCACAAAAACGGCATGCGGATGAATAATTTATGACAAAGACGGCCACCACTAGGTTGCCGGTTCCTCTCTTTCTCGCTCTCGCGTCGGACGACCACGACGAACGGTGGCTACGACGAACGCGGACGCGCACGAATAATTAATCACCATCTATAGTAGGAATCTAAAGATAGTGTTGCGCGACTGACTGACGTGTACATATGGTCTTTGTTCTGCGGCTCGCCTGTAAAAAACGGCACGCGGGCGATGCCGAGAGTTTTGCTCCGCGAGGACAGGAGGCCGGCTTAACTTGTGAAGGAAAGAGAGGAAAAAAAGTGGGATATCTCTTTCTCCTCCCGCGGGTGAAAGTGTCGTTTCGCGTAAAGACACACACATACTCTCTCTCTTTCTTTCTTTCTTTATCTTTACGTCTTTATCCGCCTCTCTCGTTCTCTCCCGCGACATTCGCCCACGCCCGTCTCTCCGTATTTTTCACGCGACGTGATATATC